TATAGAAACATGTGAAAGATTCCTCTAAGTGGATTATAAAAGTTTGCTAATTTTGATGGATGATATCACTGCGAAAAGTTGTGGGTTTGTTTTCTTGTCAGCTGGAAAAACTGATACAAATTATATACGTGTGGCACTGGTGATGGGCCTCAGTTGGTAGAAGCACTGATGTCAGAAGTAAATGGTGTGCAGTATTCCAGTTTGTGACATCTTTAGTTAAGATAATGTGTGTGTCTCATTTAGTATTGTATTCATAACACTGGTGTGAGTAGATAGATTCTGTGCAGTAGTACTGCCTTTGCTAAAAAGGGAAAGAAAGGGTCGTGCTTGTGATCATTTGGCACTCTTACTCCCCCGTGGAGGCTGAGAATCCTTTCTGCACTGTGATGGGAGATTGATGTTTGCTACTGAAAAAAGCCTGTCAGAGGTTCAGAGTGGCAGTTCTTCCCTTCGTGGAAATGGAGAGTGGTTATTGATGGTGTGTAGGTTGTAGCCAGAGTTCTGATGAAGAAAGAACCTCATTTCTCTTTCTCAGGGGCAGAATATACAGTCTCTTCCGATCCCTTGTTTTTAGTGCTTTATTTTTAGATGTACTATTTTTAAAGAGCTTGAAATACAAAAATATTTGCTTTTTTTTCCAGTTAAAAGAAAACCCCGTTGTGACACAGCATGACTCAATCTTTTTATAGCCACATCAAATACGTGTTGCTTAGGATAATGTAAAAATATAAAAACAATAATAAAGGCAAAAATGAGAAACCAGCAATTGCTACGGTAACACAAGGTAGAGGACAGCAAAAAGAAATTCTGTAAATAAATGTCTTATTAATATTTATTATTCCAAACAAAACAATTATATGCTTTAACCATATTATACTGCCAGTACCAAAAGTAGTACAGAAAGTATAGACAGTATTTAGTACATAGAATTTATTTTGCATCCCCCCTCTCGGGGTTAATGTAGCAATTGTCTTAATCTCTTAACAAGTGTGTGTTAAGGGAGATGTATGAAGTGAGAGTAGAGTCAGTTTTTTGGGTTCCTTAGAGCCTTGTTTTGATGCTGAAGATACTGGGGATTGTTTGGATGCTGAGGTGTTGAGGGCAGTGCTGCCTGATCTGCAGCCAGGTGGGAATGGTGTCTGTGCTCCTGGAGCACAAGGCTCTGGAACAGTAGGCTCCGAGCTCACAGGGTCGTCTTGTGACTCATAAATATTATTCTTGTCAGTGCAAAGCAGATCTGATTTTGAGCCTAAAACAGCAACCAAATGAATAACAACAGCTGACAGCAATGTGGTACACGCCTTTAATTCCAGCTTTGCCAGTCCAGCCTCCACTCCCTGGGCAACATCAGGCGCTGGGCTGGAAGCTCAGGAAGAGCCTGAGGGAGGCCTGGCAGCCAGGTTGTTCAGCACTCGTGTTTCCACTTCTGTGGCTTTTAGCAGCCTGTTGAGATGTGTTTTTGTTTTGGGGCTGGTTTTTTTTTTTGTATGTGTGTTTTTCCTAATCTGCCAAGCTCATCTTTTTCCAGCTGCTTAGGCATTGTGTTAGTGCTGACACAAAGACTTTTATTTGCTTATTTATTGTACAGTGAGATCACATCTTTCACTGAGAAAACCTGAGGGAAGCCAAGTTGGTGTTTGCTGACATCTGACCTGCACAGCTTGGCCAGGGCTGGACCCTGAGGTCTGTTTGCCCAGGTCTGACCAAGCCCCAGGGGAGCTCTGTTTGAGTCACAAGGTCCTCTCTGGGGACACTGGCTGTGGGACATCCCTGCCAACCTTTGATCTGCTGGCTCTGAAATGCCTGCTGAGAACTGGGATTTTGGAAGGAAGGACCTGAGGAGTCCAGGAGACCTGGCCTGTCTCTGGAGGATCCCTCTGAGGAGGAGTGGAGGGAAGAGTGTGTTGTGTGATGGGCAGCAGGGGACAATTAACTGAGTGAATTAGTGTGAGTGCTCCCTGCAAAGCAGGTTCATGTTAGGGTAGACACTGGGTAATTGGCTTAGGTGTAAATTGTCTCCAGATTAGAGTACTGCATTTTTATCTGGATGATAGAAAGCTCCTTTTAAAATAAAACTTAAATTCTCAAGAAATACGCAATAAAAGCAAATCATTAGTGTTTGCAATGTGGACAATTGAAAAGCATGGTAGTTTTTAAGTATATATCCTTGACCATCAGCAGATATGCAGCCTGGAGAAAGATGAAGAGTTGCTTTTACAACTGCTACAATGTGGAGTTTTTTCAGATGATTGGTGTCAGGAAGATATTATTTTTTATTCCCAAACCATATAAAAACCAGTTATAGTACCAGTTGGAAGTGACTGAAGTTGATAAATTCAGGTTAGACTCTATAGTCATTGCTCATGCTTGGAAGGGCAAGAACTTGCTAGTGGTGTCCTGTAGAAAGAGCTCTCCCTGTTTGGTTGCCCAGACCAAGGAGGTGATGATGGTCATTGCAGCTGCCCATCCTGCTGGGGTTGGATTCCTGGAGGAGGGAGGGTGAGAGCAAAACCTAACCATGGCTGGTTAGGCACTACTAAAGCTTGAGCTAATTTCTAGATCCTAGAGAGAAGTCTGACAATAATCTGGTGATGATTTGCTGATTCTCTGCATGTTTGCATGTTAGGCCATGTTTTGAGAGTAAAAGGGTAATTCCAAACTACTGATAGAAGCTGCCATTTAGATTGTGTTACAGTATTAATGTGAACTACTTGGTGCCACCACTTTCAGCTGTCTTCCCTGCTGTTGCTTTCTTGGATATTTAGGCTACTGCCTCTTTATTAAATCTGTCTGCACTGTGTGCCATGGGCCTGTGATCCTGTAGCACTCAGATTTGATCGCTGCTGCCCATCAGAGCAGGGCAGAGCTGCTGTCAGGGGAGCTGGGCTGCCCTGGCACTGCCCCTCCTGCTTCTGTGCTGACTCACAGTGCTTTTGGGAGAGAGCCCTTTGGCCTGGTCGTGTGTGTGGATTAATCACAGTCAACAACAGTCTCTGAGTTGTATAAAGCTACTGTTCTGCAGACAGTGTGCACATTTTCCATATATCCCATGGCTTTGCGACCTTTGTCCTCTCCTCATTGAGCTCACTGGGTCTGATGCCCCAGCTTCCAGTGGGAAGCTTGATTGTTTTTCTAGTCTCATTTCTTACACATTTTCTGTAGCTTACTCTATTATCTGGTACTAAACCACATTCTGTATAGGTTTGTGAACTATGTAATTATCCATATTAATTTTGATACTGGACCTTTTTGTCCCTCCTGCCAGTTCCTTTTTCCAAGTGCAGTATCACAAGTAGCTGATGAGTGCACTGAAGGAAATTATGCTTCTCTGTTGGACTTCTGTTTTCACCAATAACCAGACCTTCAACTAATATTTTCAATCACGTGTTTTATAACAATTTCCAAAAAACTAATTGACTCCTTCATTTTCTCAGTGCTTCCAGATCACTGCTTCCATTGTGCAGGTATAAAATTGACAAAGTTTACACAAACTAAGATAGTTTAAGATTATTATTGTGTTGAAGCTCATGTAAGGTTGTGGATGTTCAAGAAAATTGCTGAGATTGTGTGTTTTCAGACATGCTTACCTTCCTTACAAACTATATTTGAAGGCATTCTTTTGTTTCAAGTTTGAAACTGTTCTTCATTGGTGTGAGCAGTGATGGAGATGTAGCTGGAAACTTAATAGAAAACACACATAAAGCTTACAGGTTCTGTGCTATCTGCAGTATTAGAATGGGCATGGATTTAGTGCAAGTTAATTTAACTTGAGATAAAAATCTAGTTGGTCCTTGTTTTTTATGTCCTTGTTTTTCATCTCAGGTTGAGATGAAGCCAGTCTGTAAGCCTGACGTATTTAATCTGTAAAATTATGCATTCTTTTATTCTGCAAAATGCATTATAATAATTAATTGCTTGTATTCTAGTGAATATGACTCGATCCCATATAATGTACACCAGAGCAGTGTAGCTAAATCACATTGTTAGAAATTGTGGTATTTAAGAATGAGGGGAGTTCACGGAATTGGCATTTTGTTGGCCACATCTTCCTTGACAACACACTCCATAGCTTCTCAGTGTAAGATGTGCTAATTCCAGCATCACTAACTTCAGTATTGTGTAAACAAAAATTGAAATAGAAAAAGGCAAGAGATCAGAACTCCATTAGCATTGTCTGCCAGGCTCCAGAAAGCAGGTTTGGGTTTGGAGAGGAGATTTACAGCTGAATTAACAGCCTTCATGTCGACTGGATTTAAATTTGTTTGTGGGTGTATCCATAGAACCAAACTACTGTTCAAATCAGCTGGAAAAAAACAGATTTTCATTTCAAGTGGTACAGCAAGAAATGTCACAAGTTTTCCGCAGCCTCCTGAAATAGTAGTCCCTGTGAGTGGGGAGAGAATATCTATTTAGATGTCAGTTAAGCCTGGTGACTAACAGATCAAAAGGGGCTGGTAAGACACGCAGCCGACAGGCTGTGGTACATAATTTGCAGAACATCCCTGAACACTTAGTGCAGCAGGCTCCCAAATTCCATCTGAGTAACAGCATGTGTGCAGGTTTGACTTAAAAGACTGTAAAGGGAGAAGAATTCACTGTGGTGGTGGTGGTAATTATCCTCACTGCTAATAGTTGCACTGTAGGAGTGTAATTTTTTGCATCCTTAGCTTCAAATAACTGCATCTCAGTTGGAATAATTGGGGTTTTTTTTCCGCTGGATTTAAAAAAAAGTCTGCCATCTGAAATCCATTCTGTGTGCAGACAGTCACAAAACCCCATGGAATTTCTAGTTTTGGAGGGCACTGCAGTTCTTTAACAGTTCAGAGGCAAGTCAGTTGACATCATTTGTGTATGCTTTTATGGATTGCCTGGATCAAGGAATAGGATTCAACGAAAGAAAAATATTTGGGAATTTGGAATTTGAATAATGTTTTTTTCAGTTACCGAATGCTGATGAGAAATGTAGTAACCTTTGTGATGCTTGTTGTGCTTCCCTGCAGGGCAGCAAAGGACACTTCAGGTACCACTGGCAGAGCCACAATGTCAAGCAAAGTGGAGTGGATGATATGGTCCTGCTTTCCAAAATCACGGAGGATTCCATAGTGGAGAACCTGAAGAAACGCTACATGGATGATTATATTTTTGTATCCTTTGCTGGTTTTGGTGGGGCCTCCTGGACTTGCTGAGCCAATGTGACACTAATGATGTGTATGTGTTCTGCTTAAGCAGATTACTCAAAGATGCTGAACATTTTATGTGGCAGTTCACCTGAGATAACACAAAATGCTTTGTCAACTAAGCTAATTCTGACGGTTGAAAATAAGATCACAGAAATTATTTTAAGGTATTCTTTTTGATATTTGAATTTTGTTCTTGTCAACGTTGAAGATAGGCCTGTACCTTCATATGTTTTTTTATAAATATCTATAAAATATATATTTATATATGCACATGACCCCTGAAGCCTACTCTAGTAATGCTACTTCTCAGAGCAAGAATTAATAGGTTTAAGGTATATATACATTTCTTGATATCATGTTATCTTCTATAGCTCCAAAATTCTAATGCTTTCAAAATAGCATTTCTTCTATGACATAACCACATTTACAGCTTAATCTGGAATTGTTAATACTGTGAATCTGTGAATACTGTTAATATTGCTGATGGAAACAGGTGAACATTTCAATATCTGTAAATCTTCAGTGTTCTCACCTACATTTTTTTTTTCTGTGATTAAGGAAAATGTGAAAAATTGAAATACCTGACCATATAACCTAACAAGGAAAACAGACTTCAGCACCCAAGGTTTGCCTTTGAAAAAAAAAATTCATATGAAACTAATTCCTTGAGATAAGAATAGTCACTGTTTCCTTTTCAGCTTTCACAGTGTAACATGAGCTGCAGTAATGAATTTGGTAAACACTAGTCAATGATTATAGACTAGAAAGTTATACTGTTACTTATCTTGCTGTAATCAGGTTTTCATACTTACTAGTTGTATCTGGGGAATAGTTTCCTTGATGAGTTTAACATTTTTTAGCAGAAAGGGAAGGAAATGTAGCATCTTAGCATCTCCTGGCTTCTTTCATATGTTCAGATGGTCAGGAGCTACCCAGCAGCACAATTTAGCAAGGACTGATAAAGGAAAATTTATGTTGCAGTTGTGTTGCCATTTCCATCCCAAACTGCAGAGGTTTCTAAAATGTGTGTGGACATGGGTTTGGGTCCTCTGGTCAATGAAGTACCACGCTATTATTAAATTGGCCTTATAGAAACATGATGAGGTTGCACAGTGTTTGCCAAACTGTAGTACTGGGACAAGCTATAGAATTCTTCCTATTAGCAACACGGGTGCTTTTGTCCTCGTGGAATGCTGCATCTTCCATGCAGTGCATTCACAAAGGCTTCCATTCTCTGCTGAAGAAATGGGTTTGTGCTTCTTTCTTATGAAAATAGATTGACACGAAGGTGATCTTTCAAAGCAGGAATAAGTATGTTTTCCAAGGGGCCTTGTGGTCACACAGAGGGATCAGAGTTGTCCCTCGTGTAGGGAGGAAGACTCCTTTTGCAGTTCTGCGAAGGCTTTTCATTCTAAACTGAAGATCATCTCTTGAATATTTCAGTTGTTTGTGTGTCCCTCATGAATGAACATTTCTCAGTGCTACATTGCACAGAGATGACCGAATCACCCCAGAAAATGCTGGCATTGTTTACCAACAGAAAACTGTCACTTTGGGTGTTTATACTGACACAATGAGGGATTGATTTGTTGTATTCGAGGCCCAGATGTTGTCACTCCTTTTGAATGTATGAAGAAAGCATTTCAATTTAGTATTACAGAAATGATGTTCATTGAGTTATGCTTCTTCTCTAGCACATCACCTGGTGCTGTGGCACCACGATAATAGATTCTTAGACAGGACAATTCAACAGGATAAATGTGTTAATTTTCTTACTTTTGTAAAGCTTAGATAGCAAGTTTGCCTATGAGCAATTCCAGATTGTTAAATGAAACCTGCACTACAGCATTTTGGGCTCACTGGTGTGGGTACACCGCTAACTCCCAACTCAGTGAAAATGATCCTGACACTACTTTATGTGCCTGGGAAGTACCATCAGTTGCTTCCTATGTGTGCACTACAAGTCCAGAGGTTGCAGAGGTTTCTAAAGTATCTAAAGTTTCTAAAGTTCCAGAGGTTTCTAAAGCATTTTGTAAATGCGGAGACCTGTAACTGAATGCAGAATAGTGAAATACTATATTGAAAATGTTGCCAAAAGGCTAATAATGGTTTGAAACTTAAGTGTCTGTGAATGGGGCAGCCTGCAGGAGAGAACTGCTGAGGACTTGTCGTAGTTACCCTCATAAAATAACACCACACACTGAATTACCTCATTCCCTGAGCTCCCCCACAGCACAGGCAGCTGAGTAATTGTCTGATTTAGCTCAGCAGTGGCCGTTTCCCCCGACTGTGCTTGCTCAGCACTGCGTCTGTGAGATCACACTGTGTCACTGCACTAAATTCTGCAAAGGTCAAACTAATATTTTCTACTACTTACAATGCAACCTTCTCAGTTACAAAGTTTTAGTTACTCAGTTTAAATATGCCATTTCCTTTCTGTATTTTTATTCGAGTCCTGTTTGGGTCTTCAATACATGTTTCTGTGCTTAGCTTGTCCTAAAATAAATATTTTGATGATATAAAAATATGCCATTGAATTGTATGTTTTTGTTCTTGTAAGCCTGCTAATTTGGTTTTTATTAACAATTGCTGTAAGCTGTGGAGTTTTTTACTATTATTTGAAGCTGTGCTGTATTATTTAATAGGTGGTAAAATTATTTTGTCACTACTAGTAAGATAATACTTTATGAAACCAGTTAACCTTAACTTCTTCTGAATGCAGACATATATTGGCTCTGTTTTAATCTCCGTGAATCCTTTCAAGCAAATGCCATACTTTGGGGAAAAGGAAATTGAAATGTACCAAGGAGCAGTAAGTAAAGCAGTATAAAATGTAGTGCAGTATTCAGGGGCTTGGAAATGCTATTCTACACAGTTTAACACTTGGAAGCATTTGTTTCTGGGGTTTGGTAGCATTGTACTGGCCTGGGAGAACTTGGCAGATATCCATTACCATATCCTGAGTCTTCAGAGTGAACTCCCTGGCACATAAGATTAGTATTTGAAGAAACTCCTTGTATTGATCAGCTCTAATCCATATCAGGTATCTCTCCTTGACATGTCCCTGCTCTTGCAAAGGCAGTTTTTAAACCCTCATAAGCCTAAAGTGTGGTGCAGGATGCAAAATGGCCATAAGTGGATTTGGAGACCATGGCTTGACAACTCTCAGGAACAATAAAAAGCTTGAGATGCTAAAATTAGATGCCACTTTTGAAAATACAGTTTGAAGAGCGAGTCAGCACAAGAACATCAGGGAACTTAAAACTGAGTTGCCTGCCCTGCTAGAGTTGGGCATGTCCATAGATGGGGGAAACTGGTTTGAATGGGCTGAAAATGGGACACCCAGCACCAGGCTCTGGGTTCTGCTCTAGGCAGAATATTGTCAGCACGTGACCACTGGTGGAATAGGCTTAAATTATGGGAGTTTCTCTTGGACAAGTAATATATTTCCAGCACAGACCATTTTTAGAACAGGATGTTTACAATAGTTTAGGAGAAAATTATGGATGAGAGAAAGATCACTAACAAAGCCCAGAGACTTTGGTTTGTTTTTATTAAATGTACAAAAAATTCCTGGAGAAAATTCAGTACAAAGTGGGATACAGAATTGTTTTTCCAGGAAAATAATTCTTCCAATTTAAATAGAAATTTGTTTTGCCTTTTCTGCATTGTTTAATGCTGTGTTGAAAAATTATTCCCTATTTTCCCTCCTAGGCACAGTATGAAAACCCACCACATATTTATGCTCTTGCAGACAGCATGTACAGAAACATGATTATTGACAGAGAAAATCAGTGTGTCATTATTAGGTAAGAAAAAGATCTGTAAAAAACATTTTATCGTTTTCTTTTGGTGTTTTGGTGTCAAGAAGCAGAAAAGTTTTATTATATCATTAAAAATCTTCTGTGTCCGTGTTCATATTTTGGGATTTTCTAGGGTAGCCAAGTACTTTCTGACTCTTTTTTGTTTTCCAGTAAAATCCTGATGATAGTTTAACCACAAGAAATCTCTTACTCACATAGTCCAATGCCAAAACTGCAATAGCTTGAATGACTGCATGAGAGAGATGGATTAACAACTGCAGCAGCCACAGATACTGTTAAATCCAGCAATCCCACATGGACTGCATTTACCGTGGTCTTTTGTTCCGTTTGGAATTTTGCTTGTGTTCAGTCAGAGACAAAAGGAGGAGAGAGATACTGGAAAATTAATTTTGTCTTCACTGTTAATCTATTTTAATTGTTAGGCTGAGGGAATTCACTGCAGAATTATTACTCAACTTTAGTTAATGACAGGCATTATTTAAGTGACAATCAAAGTGAATTTTTGGGACCAGAGTTACAGTTTTTTCTCATCTGTGGGTTTTATGGATGGTGTATGATAAAAGAAAATGTGTGGAGAGCAAGAACTGCAGGATGGTCGAGCTGGTACAGTGTGCCTCTCCTGACTTCCCTTCCTGCACAGGGGGTTCTTGGGTTCCCTGTGGAACCCCTGGGGATGCTCTTCACCTGCAGCTTTGCTCCCAAGGCAGGTGATGTGTCCCAGGGGCTGTGCAGTGATTTTACACGTGGTGTAAAGTGGCTGTGAACCGTTTGCAGCACTGAGCTCTGTTCCTCTGAGGGCCCCTGCCTGCAGCACGGTGCCCTGTGAAACAAAAAGCCCAGAGCTCTCATTCCTGTCACTGAATTGTTCCCTGAGCTAAGTCCTTGTCTTTGGAAAACTGTTCCTGTGCTGAAGTTTACTCGTCACATGTAGTCAAATTGAGACCTGTTAGGAATGGGTAAAATTGGAATTTACTTTGCCTTTTGTACAAAGCAACAATCCCAGAGACTGAGATGTTTCACGAGAAGATAAATTTTTAGAGAAAGCCTTTGAACTGTAGTAAATTGTGATTAAAACCCTATTTTTTGATCCTATGCTATTAGCAGCCCAAAGTGCCATGAGTGCAGTCACATTTTCAGAGAGCTGAGATGCAGCTCTGAGATACAGACTCACAGTTTTAATTTCACGTGAGAATTCTTGTGCTTGAATGATGGGTGATGTGCTCTTTGGAATGTGCATTTTGTATGTGCAGAGTGAAATCTCTCTCAGTGTGTGCACAGCCTATTCAAAATCTGCAGGAGTTAATTGAAACCTACTGGGAAACTGAACCAAGAAAAATCATGTTGGCCAGAAACATTTCAGAGAGGTTTTTTCCCTTTATACACATTTATTTTTGCTTTGATTATTCTTACTACAAACACTGTAAAAACTGCAGACTAGACTTATAGGTAGTTTTTGTAATGGTATTTGATCTTTTCGGACACTTAGAAATTATTTTTATGAAATCAAGTAACTTGGCTGTTCACAAAATTGACTTTGCTTGGCTGATATTTTAATAATTTGGACCACGTTTGATTTAAACTGTTTAGATACATCCTACATTTTTTGATTTAATGTCATCACTATTTTTATCGACTAGAGCTGGCTTAAGAATGAAGTTTGTTGAAGTTTGTGATTTGTTTGCTACATTGTTTTATTGTGTAGATCAGAAGGCACTGAAATTGCTGGCAGAGCAGGAGCTCCCACGTTGCTGCAGCTCTTGAGTGAAATGGATGTTCTAGTTGGCTTTTTGTCTACTACCACTGCATTGGTTTCACTTAATAGCTGCCAGGGACTTTACTGCTTCTTCCCCTACACTGATGAGTCTCAAAAAATTGAGATTCAGTTCTGTCTGTTGTCCGTTCCACAGCAGCCTGCTGAGCCTGAGCAGTTCCAAATGAACCTTGGCACTTCACTGAAATGTCGTTTTTGCTGTAAAAATTTCTCCTGTGGAAGATGAGTGATAATAACAATATGGTTATTAGGAGGTGCTGTTTGCTTCTCTACTTTATAACTAGACTGAACTTTGGAGTGACTTCACTGAAAGTCCCTGGTGGAACAGGAGGAACAGAGCAATCTAGCACCCAGGTTTTTTCCTTCTTTTCCCCTCTCAAGATGGCAGATTTCCCCCCTAAAGAAAGGTTTGCAAAGAGAGAAGGTAAGAAATAAGACGTAGACTGGACCTATTCACAGGCAGATCAAAAAGACTCCATCTGGCTTATGGTGCACATGGAGCCTCAGGAATGGAGACGCCAGGATGGTGGGGAAGGGGTTGGGACACTCCTGTGTCTCCCTGCCGTGTGGTTTGGGGCACCTGTGGCACCAACCTCCACACCTGGGAGGGGACATGCATTCCTGCACACCAGACATGTATTTCTGGGCAGGGGAAGGAAGGTCCCTGCTGTAGTCAGGAATTTTGCCAGGACATTAATTTCAAATAATGCATTTAGACACTGATAGAAAAAAACTCATCCTCTTCAAAAATTCAGTGAATGAACTGGGAATGCATCTCCAAAAGGAAATCTGGTTCTCTGAAAGGCTGAATTGGTAGCAACCAAAATAATCTCTTTTCATATGACAATACTAAGTCAAAAAGAAAACCTGTTACCAAACAACCTGTCTAGGGCCGGGGAAACCTTTTTCATTAGCTGAGTAATTTCAGCATATATGCATATGTGTTAAGGTAATTCCATGTGCACATGTGTAATTAGAGCTGAGGAGCTGGGACCTGTTTTGCATGGCTGTTCAGAGTAAACAGTGAGGTTATTCATGGGCTGGGTCCTGGCTCAGTGCAGGTGCAGGGTGTGCTCAGGTGGGAGGAGGGAGCAGTGCCCATAACTCTTCCCTAGTTTTGTTTGCACTGGGCAGAATTACAGAGAAGTTCACTCACAGCAGTTACACTGGACTTTGACTTCTCCTTGAGTTTATGTTTTATTGAGACACTATATTTAATTTAAGCCTTTCTTGAACTGAACTCATAGTTGTCTTCTACAACAGCCTGTTGGCATTTCTTCCCCATGTGACACGGCAACCCTTCCAGACTATCCACAGGGAGTTGTCCAGTCAAGATTTTAATTATGAAGGGTTGTCTCTTGTGGCTTTTAATTCCTTCTGGACTATCACTGTCCTTTAATTACGAGAGTGGAGGTTATGATTAGTATTTTTCTATTATGTAGCAAAAAATGTGTTTCTTCAGAATGTTCTTAAGGTTTTACCTTTCTATAAAGCTGAGGACTTTATTTGCACTTTGACTCTCTGCCCTCTGCCAGGAGATGTTGTCATTGCTTTAAAGCAGTTTTTCTTGTTTGTAACTTTAGTTTACATTTTACATTTGTGTGGCAACCTTTGAGTACAGGAAAACAATGTATGATGACTGCACACCTATTGAAAGGACAATACATCTTAATTAATACAAATATACATTAATAAAAAGATCATTTACCACCCTGGCTGTTTTTAGTGAACAGCTCATGTCTAGCTTCAGTCTATGAAGTTCAAAATTTCATATGAGATTTCTAGTCAGCTTCTGTATCTGAGCTTTCCAGAAGACTCAAATGACTGATTGTTCTAAAACAAATGTAGAGAATCTTAACTGGAAATATGGTTCAATTTTAATAAGGAAGTGATAGAAAGAGAAGCCTAACCCAATAAGAAAAGTGAGGTAAAAGCTCTGATTCAGAAGGGAAAAATGTTTCACTGTAATTATGCTGCTGTGGTTTCTCTGAACATAAAGAAAGTAAATTTTCTATGTAAACAAACAAAAAGCTTATCCAAACACATCAGAGTATTTTACATATACAGTGTTCTTTACTGGCAGATCCAGGAGGTCTTTATAAATATTTATTCTTAAAATTTCTGCATTGTCCTGGCAGTGTAGATAAGCATCACTTGTATTGTTCTGCAGCCAGGGATACTGTATTAAATATCACTCAGAAAATTAATTTTAGAGAGAAGAATGATGCTACATATCAGATCTTGCTTCTCTAATCACTGATTGTATTTCCTCTGGGAAGGAAGCAAGGAGCAACAAATTTTCCCTCTGCGTTTGTAGCCTTACTCTGATTTCAGCTAAGCAGTTAATTGACTTTGTGGAACAAATTGTCATTTTTCTGAAGTGGCAAATAATGCTAGAAGAAACACTGTGTCTTTCAAAACATTATATTTTTTGTTAGTGATTGAAACTAGGTGATGTTTTTACTTTTAGCAAGAAAAGTCTCTGAGAAAATTGTCAATATCACAATCCACTTTAAGCTATTTTAAGAATTTTTTCAACCTTTAAAAACCTCTGTACTTCAGCACACTTAAAATAGTGTTAATAGCAGCAGAGCAGTAAGGTATATACAAAAAATTAATAACTGAGCTTTACTGGGGGCAGGATACCATCCCATCAGATAAAGCTACTTTGGTTCATAAATAATGCATCATCTTGTTTTATTCTACTTTAATTGGAGCAATTTGCTGGTCTTTGATCAATAAAGGCATAAAACTGAAAAACAGTGCATAAATCTAAATGCATAAATCTGGAAGGCAATCTTTTCAGCCAAGTTAATTTAATAGAAGGGCCCACTTACCTCGAAGCAGAGACAATAAAATGGAGTTATATTCCTGCAGGTCAGTTCTGTGGCAGACGCTGTGGAGTGAGAAATACAAGCCACACTTAATTTGAACAGGGAGGAGAAGGATAATTGATGCATCAAAGAAGATCTTACAGAAAAGTGTAATGTTTTTAGTGTGTGCTAAATAACACCTGATCAAATTCATTCAGTGTTTGGCCGCAGATCTCCCTCTGTATTCATTTGGAAACTGCACATGTAAGCTCAGAGTATGATTGGGTCTCAAATGGTTTGTTTGGTTTTACAATAGGATGAGCAAATTTACCAAGAGCAAATTTTCAAGAAATGTAGTTTTAATTGTTGAAGTATTGCTGTTTTGAACTTCTAAAACCAGTTTGCCATTCAACCAACTCTACCCTTGTGAATGTAGTAGATACAGACTTTCTTCTTTGTGTCTGGGAAAAGGTGACTTGGAAGAATAACAATATTCATGGTCTGCACTTCACAGATGGATGATGAAGTACTTTTTCACCTTTTCAAGTTTTCTGTTTGCTCTGTAAAACTGCCATCGGGAGAAGACAAAAGCAGGAAAACATTTCTGGGAAAATAATTTTTAAAAGCCTTTCAGTATTTCTGTACCGTTTGGAAGCTTTAAAGATGTGAAATGATATTTGCAGCTTGGCAGTTTGGGGAGTTTTTCCAGAATTAAACCTTTGGAAATGTCTCTATTACTCATGTTGATAAGGAGCTCTGAGTTGTTCGTTCTCGGCGAGTCCTTTTCCTGTGCAGGACACGCTGATGTTTCTCTGGCAGACGCAGCTAAAATTTGTGCGGGAAAAGATGTGCATTTGATCCATATCCAGGAACAAGTAGGCACAGGATAGAGGAGTCAACAACTTTCAGTGAAATTATTCAGGGACTTTAAGACAGCACAGATTTTCACACAAGAAAAAACTCTTTCAGCTGTCTTTGAAACAACATTGAAGCTGACACTGAAACAACACCCGTGCACTGGGGTGGTTTTGTTGGTATAGTTATCCAGGTCGTGGTAAATTCATTAAGGTCAAAGCTGACTTGCACCAAGATTTATATAAGTCTGGAGGAATTTTGTTGAAATGAACCTCTAAGGGATGAAGTAAAGTGTGAGGTTGGATTGTCTGCCATGCCAGTCTTCTTTCCCTTTTGAGGAGCTTACTGATTGCAAGAAGGCAAAGCTACTCATGTGGTAAACATTATTCACCATCGAAGTGAAATATTATAAAGGAAGGAAGGAATTGTGAAACCTAGTATGGACTATTAAGACTTCTTGTACCCTGTGTCAAGAGGCATAGGAACAGGAAGGCAGTTCTTCCGTCATTCAGGATGTGATTAATAATGCCTCATTATTTCATTCAGGAACACCTAAAACAAAAGACCCCTAAAATGAAGTAGGTGTCTGGCATGGCATTCACAGCTTGGATTTTCAAATTAGTTTTTGTGTTAAGATCTGAAATCCCACTAAATTTAGATGGGAGTTGAGTTCTTAGCACACACGTTCTCTTTCGAGCATCTTGGTTTAAGTAGATGTTTCTCAATTTACCGTTTTCTGACTCTGGAGTCCCCCAGAGATTCTGATGTGCAAGATGATGTCTTCAGAATTTTGTATTCACAAACATATCCAAGTACCCTTCTGCAACACTGTATCACAGTCTATATATTACCAGTTTACCCAGTGTAAATATGGTTTCTGTTGTTAAGGTACCTGGCCTTGACTGGACAAGCTGAACCTCAAATTACTCCATTCAAGAGTTACTTAAAAGCTAATGTATATTTTTGTGTTTCTTTTTCTGTAGTGGGGAAAGTGGTGCTGGAAAGACTGTAGCTGCTAAATATATCATGAGTTATATCTCCAAAATTTCAGGAGGTGGCCCTAAAGTACAGGTGAGTTGAGACAGAGTAATACTGAAGCATAAGCACAGTCTAAAGATTGGCCTCAGAGGGGGAATGACAAAGGATGTCTTGGCAGATTCTGGCAGATAAGAGGCACATGACACCCTGGAAAATTGTGGGTGAGTGGCTGGAAATACATCCCAGCACCCAAAGCAGAGACCCCTGAAGTGGCCAGTGCTGCTCCCTTGGATGCCTGGGATGGGAGCCCTGGGAGTGAGAACCCCAGACCCAGAGCCAGCTCTGCTAGAAGTGGTGTAGCTCTCATGCTGAATTACACCTACAGGCTTTATTTTTTTTTTTTTTCAGTTAAGTGGTAAAAGGTGATTTAATTATTGTTCTTAACTAGATTAAGAACAACAACCAATCTTCTTTTAAAAGATGTGTGGGTTTTTTCCTCCTGTGTTGGCATTTTATTGAAAACTGAACTGGTTTTTTTGGGTTTTATTACTTCCTTTGCATCTCTCATTGGTGTGTGCACATCACAGAGCCACAGCAAGAACATAATCTTTTTTTATGAGGCTATCTAGGCAAACTTGGAGTGTCTGAAAGCTATCTGAAACAAAAAATAGTGCTTTTATTAATAACTATGCTACTGATGTCTGCTCTACCTATCAAAACCCAGGAGCTAAAGCTAATTGAGTGAATTAGCCATAAAAATTCCCTTAATGACATTATGATGTCACTCCTGGACTGGCAGGCAGTGGTGGGTAGGTAGTGGCTGCTTTTACCAGTCCACTGTTCTTGAGTGCTTACTGTGACTTTTGCTTTATTTGCAGTCTCTGATGTTGAGTGTGTTCTTTCTGCTTAGTTTTGTGCAGCAGTGATGCTGGGAACATTGCAGAGAGAAATTCAGTAACCAAGAGAATGATCCAGAGAAAGTATGCACTGTGTTATTTTTGGAATAAATATAATCATAGTTTAGAAGTAAATATTTTGTTTTATTTAAAAGATTCCAGCTTTTTGTACGAAATTAAAAAATGCTCTTAGTTATGACAGAGTAAGAGTTGATGAAGTTGGTAAGTTGCCTTGAGCATTTCTTTTGAAATAAAATTCCATCTGCTTTTCACAACCCAGCATGCATTGGGTTTTTTTCCAAAACTGATGTTTTCTCCATGTTTCCAGCTCCTAGGATCAGATACAGAGACAATAGTAACACATTATATTGCTTTCTGTGGCAGCTAGATAGCAGCATCATTGATCCCAAAACAGATTGCTGAAGCACTTGCAGATTCCTAAATGTCATGCTGCTGTGACTTCTTTGGTTGTGGGTCCAGACCCTCAAAAAGATTTAAAATCTCCTGTGTAAAAAGGAAATGGTTTAAAATGAAGAAGATGGAAAAAACAGATCAGTTTACTGGCTGTGTTGCTTGGCAGAACAATGAACAGAAGAACTAGGTTTTAACCTCAAGCATTTTGTTCAGTTTTGTAGGATTTTCCTCAAAAAGCTAGAATCTGAGACTAGAAGCTCTGAAAAAAAATGGTTAGATTCTGCTCCTTATCTGATCAAAAGGATTTTTACAAAGGGAGGATTTCTTGCCTTTTTAATATATAATTTAGATGCCATGGGGGTTTTTTTAGAAAATCTGTAAGAACTTTAAAAATGTCTGTTTCTGAATTTGTATTTCTCTTGTTTCCTAAAATTTTAGCATGTTAAAGATATTATTCTACAGTCCAACCCTTTACTGGAGGCTTTTGGGAATGCCAAAACTGTACGGAACAACAACTCCAGCAGATTCGTAAGTCCCTCACCCCTAGAGGTTACTTTGTTCTTCCAACCTCGGTGCTGTTACAGAGACAGTGTTCAGGGGTATAATGTAAATTGACTACAAGTGAGGTAAATCTGAGTCAAATATAAAGCAAAGTAGATGTCAAGAGGCTTCTGTTTCATTCTGTATAGGTTGCATACTTTTTTCCCTTACAGTATGTACTGGTCACAGTTTATAAAATACCAAGTCTGCAGCCTTTACTAATACATGGGGACTGTATGTAGGAATTGCCTTCAGTCTGTCATTGTAAAACAGTCAAGATAATATTGTGCAGTGACTGTTCACTAGATGACATACTGTGGGTTCTGTTTGAGAAAGTTACACAGAGGCTTTAAAAATCTGAGATGTGTTCCTCTGTTCAGGTGAGTGTTAATGCAGTTAAGGTCCCCCTGAAAGCAGGAGATCGTGGCTTCACCTTGCTGCCAAGCAGAGCACAGTTTGCTGTTGGTTGTAAATCTGTTAAATTGACTTGCTGTATAGATGAGCCTTATGGTTTCCTTTATACTAAGCAAGATTCTCAGCAGTGAAAAGAAGCCACTGACCTCCTCTCTACATTTGCATTAACACATGATGAATTGTCCCCAGTCTGGAGCTGTGTAAATGCAGAATGAAAGATATATGATGGTTCGTGAATCTAAACTTGGCTTGTACCTTGAGGCAGCTGTGCCACTGCACCCATAAAAGAGAAATATCCCAGTTACCTTGCTTGGGATACAGTAGAAATGCAGGATTTCAAATTTGCTTTTACTAATCCTTTAACAGCTTTAATTATTTATTGCAGGGGAAATACTTTGAAATACAGTTTAGCCCAGGTGGAGAACCAGACGGAGGGAAAATCTCCAACTTCCTACTGGAAAAATCTCGAGTTGTAATGAGGAATCCTGGAGAGAGGAGTTTTCACATTTTTTACCAGGTCAGAAGGGTATAGATCCTTTTTGAGTTATTTAAAGTATCCAGGACCCGTTTTTCCTTTTGATTGAAAAGTCATTCTTGGAATAGTGATATTACTGAATACACACTCCCAGAGGTAACCTGGCACTGCTGGGAAGCTCCATGGCATGTTAGGACACCACTTGACACAGACCTTCCTGGCTGCCTTTCAGCTCCAGAACAAAAGTACTTCATCATTTTAAAGGCCTTGCTTGGAAATTTATTGTGAGCTCCCATATGGAGAAGTCTAGCAGAATATAATAGAAAATGGGAACTTTTCAGCAGATTTCTTTTTAAGCTGGCCTATATGTATATATAGAGAGGCCAGTTTATATATGTATGTATAGACAGAGAGATATTTGATTCTCAGTTAAGATTTCTGGGACATTTGGGACAATACTATTTGTTGATTCCACCAAGTATCCCTATTTTTTGTGTTTCAAAAGGCTTTGCTGGCCTTCACTGGTCCTGGACGTGCACAGTCCTTTCCTGCTCAAGTGCTGTTGATCAAGCTCTACAGATCTGAGGGCAAAGCCAGTGCATTGGAAGGGTCTGGGAGCAGCTTCACAGAAAGCTGAAGTGCCATTGCCAGGGTGGAAGGCTGAGTTGGAACTGGAATTGCTCCAGGAGTTGTGTTCTCCTCTTCCGAGGATGAACAATTTGCTCTGTCCTGCTGATTTTCCTGTGGCTTGGAGAGCCTTTTTGACACAGGAATTTAAAAGACCATGGGGTTTTGACAGTTCTATTTTGAGGTTAGGTCATTCCTTCCTGTTGCAGTGCAACACTTCCAGTGCACAACTGGGTGGACTTTACAAAGTTCTGAGGAGCACAAAGGGTGCTTGTCCTCACAATGGGAGTCACAGATTCCCTTAGGATACTTTCAACTCTGCCTGCCTTGCAGTTGGCCTGGAAAACTCATTGCTCCCAAGGATTTAGGTAATACATTGTAGATTGGAAAACCCACTTTGCCTGTTCTTTTTGAGGTAGAGGTAATGGAAGGCATTCAAGTCAGTCATATTTTTTGCTTTTTATTAGATGTGGAAGTTAGAATTAAACCATTCCTGGGAATAGGATTGAAAATCTGATCTTTTGGATTAAACAATTACCAAAACACAGGAAGGATACATACCTGGCACAGCACTAGCCATACCTCTCCCAGTAATTTCAGGCTCAGTCACCTGTTTCTGACCTGCCTCAGCTCTGCTGAAGATCGTTGTATGATACCTAATTTGGAGATTTTTATTCTGCAGCTGATTGAAGGGGCCTCCTCAGAACAAAAAAGCGTTCTTGGCATTACCAGCATGGACTACTATTACTATCTGAATCTCTCTGGGTCCTACAAAGTCGATGACATCAATGACAAATCAGACTTCCAAGAAACACTGGTGAGTTCTTTATTGTATGATTTGCATAGTGATGGATGTATGTTCATTTCTCTGCCCATCTGTAGCAAAGACACTGATGTATTAATGTGGGAATGAGAAATAATGTAGGTACAACTCATCCTAATTGTATTTTGCCCTGAGGGAGAGGTATGTTACCCTGAAGACAGACAGCTTTTATAGAAAGGCGTTTTGTGTTTCAGTTTGTTCTATTTCAGAAGGGTGCAAAGTTAACGAAATTTAATTTGGTGCAGATAATCTGCAGTATGAAAAATGTGGGAATGCAAACACAGTGAGGGACTTCCATTAGAAGAAAATATAAAAGCGTGCCCTGTTTTACCTGAATTCTTAGTACTGACTGACCTTCCATGTTTATTTTTCAACAGTGTGGCTGAAAAGCTGGAGACAGGGACTGTGAAAGCACAGATCAGGGATCTTTATCCAGTGCTGTTGCCAGTTCATTGTGTGACCTGTCAACTTGTTATCTCCTGTTATTAGTAATTTACTTTTTAAAATAAGGGTGGTAACACATTTATACCCGTGTTATATATGTAATTTAAAGGCCTGAAAAAATAATTGTTACTATTGTATTCTAGCTCATCTGGTATTTTAGAAAAACAGTCAGTTGAGAAGACATTCTCTAGGTTATACTCTGAACTCCAAACCTCAGTGTTGTTGTGGATTATTTTCTACTAAGTGGCTGAAATTCACAGCCCAAGACAGACACTGTGCTGCTTTTTAGTCATTCAGCACAGCTTAACAGTTCTTAGTGTCTCAGAGGATAAACTGTTTGTGTAGAAGGAATAATATCATTGTCTTTTAGGTTCATTGTTTCCATTTTGCAGTGAAGCTGTTTTTAGTGTGACACTTAAGAGCAGGTGTTTGTTTTTTAATACATCTTCTAAGGAGTGTAGATGCTTCTGTATGTATTTAATTAAAAAAAAATACAAAAATGCTGAAGTAGGACAACCGGTATCTTCTGGAACTTCAGGGCAGGCTGCAATGAAATTTGATTGCCTTAGGAATTTGGACTGCTTTGAAAAGCTCTAGTTTCTATCATCAAAATTAAAAAAAAAATTTCTAAGACAGGAGTATTTGATTCCATTTTTTTGTTTGTTTGTTTTTCTTCCCAGCATGCAATGAGTGTGATTGGGATCTTTGGAGAGGAACAGAATTTGGTACTGCAGATAGTGGCAGGAATTCTGCATTTGGGAAACATCAGCTTCAAAGAAGTTGGCAACTATGCAGCAGTGGAGAGTGAGGAGTGTAAGTACCTCTGGAAACTCTTACAGGAGCAGCAATGGGCTGCAGCCCAGATGGCACAACTGCAATTCAGAGCTGCTTATCCAAACACAGTGGGTTGTTTCTTAGAGTAAAGGCTGCCAGTTTAGGGTCTCTTCCAAAACCAACGGTGCTGAGGCCCCTCTTTTGTCTTGTAAAGTGCCACTGACTTAGGGGGAGTAAGATTTTGCATTTTGAATATAAGAAATCCTGTTCCAGCCTTAGAGCATGAAATAACAGACATTACAAGAAATGCTTCCAATCAGGCTTGAACTCTGCTCCTTTCAGTGCATCAGCACACATTCACTGGTTCCTTCCGGGGTTTGTGTGACCTCAGTGTCCTGTGAAGGCAGGTACCAGCCTGTACCAGGGTATCCCTGCTCTCAGGATGTAGTTGGTGCCCAGGCATACAAACATATGTGTGTATGTGTGCCTTGAAAACAGAAATCCAGAACTGAACTGAAATGCAGAATTTGCATACTGCAGTTATGTTTCCTGTCTCAGAATTCTCAACCAATACCTCACTATTAGACACTATTTCTTTACAGTTTCATTTTCCACAGTGCCCTGTCCTTGCATCCCTCCCCCCATGATGCTGTTCTATATCAGCACAGCCCACAGGAGCAAGATGTTGGAAGATTAATGGTTTTAAACATTTTAAACATTTTTATCATGATTTATACCTTGCATCTAATGTTGATTTATGCTGCCTTGATAGTTTTAGGGCAGAATGGATAAGCACAACATATACAGTACCCAATACATACCTGTCTGTTCTCTTAACTCTTAGTTCAGAATGGGCTTGTGTTTAGGAAAATTGCATTTGTTTAGTTTTTGGTAGGTTAGTTATGAATGAAGTATCTTGTGCAGTCAACTTCACACCCAACTAACTGTATTAGTACTCTCCTGCTATTTGTTTTAAGAAATTGGGAAATAAAAGTTATTAATTTTTAATCTTACTATCCTCTCAAATTAAGAAATTAAGTGAACCCAAAGAAAAATGTTTTGTGGCATTGTATACATCCAGAGAAAAGTATAGGATTTTTTTATTGCTTTATGATTCCAAATGAGCTACTGTGCTTCCATTTAAATCACAGTATTTAATGTTTAAATGAAATCAAGGCATTTAATAGCCAGACAAGATAGAGACAGTGTGTTGCATCAAAATAACAAACAGCAAAGACATGGATTGAAAATAAATTATTAAAACTGAATGTATTTCTGTGATGAGCCATGTCCACCATGTTTCTACTGCTCACTGGGATATAAATATAGAAGTTGTGTATGAATAATACATAGAAAAAAATTAGAAGTAGAATGAATATAGAACTTATACATAAACATAATGATTTTAAAGAAGCCAGAGAAGATATAGCAATGTCTAGTGAAGTTTCTGCATTAGAAAGATGAAAGCTGGGCTCATTTCTCTTATCCATTAATCCTCCCCCCAGTTTACTGTTTGTCCTAGCCAACTAAATTGTACAGCATTTATAGCCTGGGTAGCCACAAAAGATAGAACACAATGAAAGACCAGTGATCATTTCTGCTTTGTGCAAGTCTGAAAGAATAAAAAGTTTAGGAATTTGCTCAATTGTGTTCTTGTTGCTATACAGCCAATTGCAGAAAAACATGCAAAGGCCACTGAAGACTCTAATCTCTTAGTCTGAGTCAGAATCAAATCTATACAGACTGTTCTTGACAGACATTTAGACAAGTAAGTCTTTGAGACTGGCAGTGATTCCTGTTACAGTTCTTGATTATATTAATAGTTGAAAAAAAGTTCTTATTTATTCTAAATCTTCCATGTTGCAAATCACAGCAAATACTACTACTGCTCTCCTGGATGCAGAAAAGAATTTAAACCATCCCTCTTTACACTTGCATTGTATTGAAAGAGTTGTTTTACACTTCCTGAAAACTCCATGAAGCGAACCGAGGCTTTTCTTCACAACGTGTATTTAAAACTCTTCCACTGAATGCTGCTGATTACTCTTTGAGGATCATTTTTTTCAATTACATGCATATCCTGCTTTATAATAATTTCCAGACTGTAATTTTATGGTCCCTAACTAGGGAAAATAATCAGGCATCTTAAGAATGTGAAGTTCTATCGAGTCCTGGCCAGCTACTCTTCCCTTACAGTAAATCATTAGCACTATGGAGGAAGTCTCTGAGCTATGCATGGTGGTTCTTACCATTACCCTGTCTGCATAAATTCTTACCAGTAGTATTGGCTAAGCACTTTTCCTGGCATCTTTACAGTATATGTGAGCATATTTGGTCTATAATTGCCCACATTCTTTTCCATTTTAAAGCATATGATGATTGACCTTTTCATGTGCTCTTCCATCTGAGTTCTCAGTGAATTACCAGAGATGTTGCCAGTGACTCAACTTTGGTTAGGTGTGTGGTTCCTAGTACCCTAGAGTAAATTTAATCACTTTGCTGATGGTAATAAATCAGATTTCAGAGAGCTGGTGGTTATTTTCAATTTGAAAAATAATTTTGGATTAACGTACTGAAGTGTTTAGCGAGTTCATGCTGTGACATACAGATATGTAAAGCACTGCCTTAGTGATTATTTAACACCCTCCTCACACCAGTAAAGTAGATCTGAAACCAATGGAACATGCAGGAAACGCTGTTAGAGGATTATGTGGTTTAGTGGAGGTGCAATACCAACTCCAGGAGTTACCCTTGGGAGCTATTTCCATATGCTTTCAAGATGTTTCTCTTTTTCCATTCCTGAAGGTGTGTGACACCTGCAGCTCACATCTGCACCATGTGCTAAGAATGCAGAGAGTACTGGACTTGTGGCTGCTTGTTGCACAGATGCATTTTTGTGCTTTACTTTTAAACAAGGGAAAACAGAATTTGCAAAGTACTTCCAGAATGAGGGATTAAAAAAATAAAACCAAGTAAATGGCAAGGCAATTGAGAAGTTTTTGCAATGTCCTAACTTACAGGAAGAAAGGGAAAGAATATTAGGAAGCAGGTAGCCTATTTTTTGTTATTCTTTAAACATTTCATGTTTTTACAAAGAACTTTCAACTTGTCAATTTTATTTAATGTGTGAGCTCTCCATGTTTTATTTCCATCTTCTCCCAGAGTGATTTGTTTGAACTACATAGTTCAAAACTATGACCTAGGGCAGCTTACATGTTACAAGGACTGAAGGTACAGAAATAGCTGACTATTTTATTTCAAGGTGCTTTATCTTAATTGAAATCCATGCAAGTAAAGAGCTGAAAACGTCCTTGAGGAGCATAGGGGAAATTTTGACAACCTAAATTCCTCTTCTTTTTAAGCTGCATGCCCCATGAGTTTTGTTGTTATTAGAGATACAGTTAATTTTTTTCCTTTGTTCTGTATTTAACCTGTAAGCCATAATCCAGCAACCCTGATCTTTCTTGCAGTTTTGGCTTTCCCTGCTTTTCTCCTGGGAATTAACCAGGACCGCCTGAAGGAAAAACTGACCAGCAGACAGATGGACAGCAAATGGGGAGGCAAATCTGAGTCCATCCATGTGACCCTGAATGTGGAACAAGCCTGCTACACCAGGGATGCCCTGGCCAAGGCCCTTCACTCCCGGGTGTTTGATTACTTGGTGGACGTAAGTTGGATTTCCTTGATTCTACTGAAGTATCAAAACCAGTACAAGGGCAGCAGGAATGTTCCTTACGGTGCTTTTCTTGTCTGTCATTTCTTTGGCCTGGGGTGTTTCTTTGCCTAAACCTGCCCAGGGCAGTGGGAGCCTGACCACGGGTATCAGGCCCAGGGCACTGATGATGTGGCAAACGCGACACGTTCTTTGAAGCAACGAGCTGTGCTTTCAGTCTCCTGCCAAGAGTGTCCCCTGGATACTCTGACATCTCCCTGTCAGCATCCATACTGCTCAGAATCTTACTTTCTCCTATGTAGTTGAGCAGAATTAGTGGATTATGGTCCCCTGCTCTCTCATCCTGCAAAAAGCTCCTTCGGCATCCAGATGTGGCAGATGACCAAATTCCATTCTTCAGCTAAAGTACTCCCTTGTTTGGAGGGCTAGGACTGTACCTTTGACCACAGATGGATGAAGCAGAGGTCCTCCCTGGTGGCACTGCCAGTGTCTCAGAGGTTTCCCTCATCATGGCAGCCCTGAAATTCCCACTATGTGCCTGTACCAGCACTGTCACTGCAAGGAGTCAGTCAAAAACACAGAATAAGGTGAAAAGATTCAGCGTACCATCTGCAAAATTCATCAAATACCAGACTGAAAGCTGTTCTTTTTTTTGTTGGCTCCTTTTCTTCAGCTGAGCTGGTTACACTGAAAGGGAAGGATTTTTACAAATAGTAGATCCAAAGGCTCACTGACCTGGAAAACAGGATAGCATACTGTTCATTTCCTAGCTGTTAGTAACACTTTATTAAAAAGTGAAAGCAAAGTAACCTATTACATATATTGGTATTCAATTAAAATATGTTATCTTTTAAGAAACCCAATATTTTTATAGAAGTGTTTAAGAATATAAGTATCTTTAAAATATATAACTACACTTTGTTTTACATTTTGTTTCTGTTTTATTAGTCTATTAATAAGGCTATGGAGAAAGACCATGAAGAATATAACATTGGTGTCCTTGATATTTATGGCTTTGAAATATTCCAGGTAAGGCAATGCAATACTTGGTGTTTGAGCAGATCTGACTGAGCTGAGGTTTTTTGTAAGTTAGAGGGGGAAAAAATCCAAACCAGAAAAAAAACCCAAACACATCCTGTGGCCAGAATAAAAGCAAAAAAAATCCCAGCCAAGCTTCCTGGACATTGCGATCTCACTGGTAATGTCTCACTTAATAAACATAAAGTATTGAAGGAACTTCAAAGAAACGGGGTCATTGATCTTAAAAGAAAGATCTGAGATTCCACAAAATGTCTATAAAGTCAGCAACCCATCTATCACTGACAGTGTTTCTTTGAAGCTTATTGCCAGCATAAGAACTAAAAATTATTGTATATAAGGCAGGAGACTAATTTTTAAATTGTTTCCTTTTCTACAGAAAAATGGTTTTGAACAGTTCTGCATCAACTTTGTTAATGAAAAACTGCAGCAGATTTTTATTGAACTGACGCTGAAGGCAGAGCAGGTAACCAGACATTTACTATTTTTGAATTCATAAATGAGCTATTACTTTTTCAGTTGTTGGAAAAATTGAGGTTTCATCATCTGTTAACAGTAAAATCTGCCCTGTTAAGGAAGACAAAGGAATAAAAAACAACCTTTGTTGTTGGCTGACCCTAAAACTATGAACCACATCAGCTGCAGGCATTTGTTGTGTGACAGAGTGGTACAGAAGTGAGTCCACCACACGGTGTGCTCATGCAGTCATATGACTGCCCAGGCTTGCTGCAGAGTCTGACTCACTGACAGAGATGGAAAACTGCAGCTTGGCTCCATCCCTGTGCTTTCCTTGAACATGACACACAGTTAACTGGGAATACGTTTCTAATTAACTCCACACCTTTTCTGTTTTTTTAAATATGTATATATGAATGAAATAGATTGCAAACAAATGCAAAAATACTTGTGAAAGTATTTGCAGTTCTCTGCTCATGATCTTACTGCAAAATCTCACTTTACATGAGGGTGAGCTCCTGCCTGGGAGGGCAGGCAGAACACAGCTGAGACAGGGCCACTGTGGTGAGCTCAGGGCTGGCACCAGCTCTGGGCCAGGGTTTGCAGGAATGCACACACACAATTGCCCTTGTATGGAATTACCCAGTCATTGCAGTGACCTGCAAAGGGTGCAGCTGAACTCGTATATATGCAGCTGACAGGTCAATTTAATCGGATTTTAGTGTGAGTTCTTGCCCAGTAACTCTCTAGATGTGTTTGTGGTTATGGTAATTGCATACAGAAATAACAAGCTGAGCTGTGTCTCCGTTCCACGTGCGTTTCTAAATGCGTTGTTTTGGGGGTCTGATCCTCAACGTGCCTGCCACAGTCGGAATTTTTAGAATCCATCAGGATGTGGAGGCTTAGGTACACTGTCAAGATACTGTTAAAGTAGCTTTGTTACTATTTGCAAAGTGCTTTGACAATAAATGCACTGTAGAAGTATTCCTGATCTTGTCAGTGAAGGGCTATGAATGACAAAGGAATGTGTGGGGAGAAGAGTGGGATTCCGATTCATCTTTTAGGCAGCAGAGAGCTGGATTTAACCATCATTAGGGTCATTTCTCCCACCTCCACCCAATCATACATTTGGCAAGTCTCCCTGAACATGAGTAGTGCAGAGTTTGTGTCTGTGGAGTGTGTTGTAAATCTAGTGCTACATCTGCAGTGCAAAGGAATATTTGCATCTTTCTTTTTACTTAACAGGAGGAATATGTGCAAGAAGGAATTAGATGGACACCAATAGAATACTTTAACAACAAAGTAGTGTGTGACCTTATAGAGAACAAAGTGGTAAGTATTTAGAGCAAACAGGTGGAAAAAACAGCAAGATTTTTTCACTAAAAGATTTGGGCAACTGCTTTGCTGTCAGGAAGGTTCATAGGAAAAATGCAAATACTGTTGTTCAGTTACTGAGTCATACTATGTCTATATATAAATCTTACATAAGATGTCTTATAAGAGCTCTAAGATATATGTCATCTAAGATACCATCCAAAAAGAGAACTACATGATTGATGTGTGACTAAAAAATACAATGATGGAAAATAAAATTTTATCCACCTGAATTTATCATGAACTTATTGACATACTGTACATCAGATGATGCTTTTCTGTGTGCCTGGAAGATGCATTTCAGTTTGGGGAAGCTACAACACCACCTTCCTTTGAGGTACTGTTGCAAATTAATCAGGAACAAGTGAAGAGAAAGTATTGTGGATAAAAGAAGTTTTGTGTCTTTGCTCCACAGAATGTTCTGCAGTTTCAAGTCTTTATGCTCTAAGTTGGGGTGACAACAAATGTTGAGTTGTCCTTTAGGACAGAAGTAGGTTGTTTTTCAGCTAGTTCTTTATCCTCATGTAGGCCAGAACAGTAGTTCAAATACTGTAGTGAGTTGTGCTTAAAGGCACATCAGATTTTGCCCATTTCCTCTCTGTATCGGGATAACTAGGAAGAAGATAAGATTTCTGTCACAATATCAGATATTGAGCTCTTAAGTTTGTCAAACTACAGCATGTGAACTTAAATACTTTCCTCAGAAATTTTTTTATTTCTTGGTGGAATGAGAAAAAAGCTTAAAACAAATACTGATGGTTTGGTTTTGTTTTGTTTTTTTTCAACAGTAATCACTGTTTTCCCCATTATTTCCCACTGTCACTATCATTACATGAAGTGGTATCTCTCCTTAAACTGTTTATGTAAAAATTAATCTCTGCCAATTGGAGGGAAATTCTTCCTGACTCTGCTCTGGTGGTTTTGTAGCAAAGATAGTTTTGTGTTTGGGGGGGGGGGAAACTGGCATCATAATTTTTTGCCCTCCTCACTTCTGCTGCTGTTCTTGTTCTGCAATCTTTCAGAATCCCCCAGGGATCATGAGCATTTTGGATGACGTGTGTGCCACGATGCACGCGGTGGGAGAAGGGGCTGACCAGACACTGCTCCAGAAACTCCAGATGCAGATTGGGACTCATGAACATTTCAACAGCTGGAACCAGGGATTTATCATTCATCATTATGCTGGAAAGGTAACGTGGAAAATCATCACTGAATTCTCTGTGATGTATTTATGAAGAAAAAGAACAGTAATGAAAGGAAGGGGGAAGCCCTATAAAGGGCTGGTTTGATATAAAATAACCAGATTATCTCAGGAGACAGTGTCCTTTCACAGTGTAGGGAGCTTAGGACAAATATGCCCCAATGTGTGTCCCTTGCTGAGGAGAGACGAGTCTGGGCCTTGCTGCTATCAAACTTACTAACCAGAACTTAATATTAAATGTTACAAATAAGTGCCCCCAGACTTTTATTAATTGTAATCTTAATTGCTTGTTATAGTAGCAGTAAATTTAAAGAATTCAGATATAAAAATGACACTATGGGGATGATATACAAATAAAACTGGGAGTATAACATACAGTTCTGTCTTCTTTGGGTTTGTTTCTCAGACTAGTCATGGTTTCCTGCAGTTATAGTTAATAACAGTAAATCCTTACTGAGCAAAAACTTTTCTTCAGTAAAATTCAGTATTAAATTCACTCATGTCATATTCCATTCACTAGCTCCATAAGTCTTTTTAAATTTGAATTTAAACTGAATTTAAATATAAGGATGAAACTCCTTTATGTTTGTTGTGAAAGAGTTTGATAATACGTGCAGGGATTTGGTGCTCATTGTAGTATCTAGGTTTGACCAGACTAACCAAAAAGTTCAGAACAGCTACTGATGAGGACAGAATTTAAATTTTCTTTAATTATTGGGTTCTCAACTTACCACAAACAATCAATTTCCACCTTGGCCCAGGTATCTTATGATATGGATGGATTCTGCGAGAGAAATCGGGATGTTCTTTTCATGGACTTGATTGAACTCATGCAGAGCAGTGATTTGTACGTAAGCAAAACTTGCTTAAAGCTAGGAATGACTCTTAGTTCAGATGGATGCAGAGGGCCTGGCTTCTCTACTTTGCAACTTGTGAACTCATTTGTATAAAAGTGGAAATAAATCACAACTTGCATTATATTGACCTTTATTTTCTACAAATTGGAGTAAGTGAGGCACTGCAGTGTCGGAATCCAATGCTGTAATGGCAGCCGTTTGTTTTGGCCTCAAACAAGGCCATCAGTGCTTTGGCATCCTCTCAAACAGGCACTGCTTTGACAAAAAAAGTAACATTTTTTTTGTTATGTATTTTATTAATTGATGATTGCTCTTTAAGAAGTGTGCATTTCTTCAAGTCTTCTAGAAGTCTGGTATCATGTCTGCCAATGCTCACTAAAATAGCAAGGGATCTCTGTGAGGAATGAGGCTCGTGGAAAATACTAATCTTAAAATAGATTTGACATAACTCTAGATTAATAGAAATAGCTATTTATATTCTGCTCAACTACCCACTTTTACAGCACATTCCTTGACATGCCTGCCTTGCATTGTCTTTCCATGCCAACCCTATTTTATAAATTCTTTCCTAGACCTTTTATAAAGGCTCTGTTTCCTGAAAATCTTCAAGTGGACAAGAAGGGCCGTCCTACCACCGCGGGCAGCAAGATCAAAGTATGTCTAGTTTTGCAGTGAAAGTGTGGGTGCACGTGGTTTTGTGTTTGTGTATGAATATCTAAATAAATTTTAAAATAAGTCTTCTCTGTTTTTTGCTGTCCAGACATTTTTAAAGATAGGCATGAGGAGGATCTCGATGCAAAGTGATGCATTGGTTCAGCTGTTAGACTCGTGTGTTGCCCAGCATCCAGTGTTCATTAAATGTTGTGTTCAGCTGCATTCCACAGCAGTGGATTTTGCAAACGAGCAATTGATGGTACTTGCATGTGCATAATGAATGAGCCGCTTCAGTCAGCCACTTGATGTCCCACAATTAACTACAGATAACTGGTCTCTTTATAGTGCAGAAAGGCAGCCCAACGCCCACTGAAGTCAATACAAGTCTTTCTACCGACCACAGTGTGCCTTGAATAAGGCAGCAAGTGTTAGAAGGCTTTGTCTTAGAAGTCTCTTTGGAGACTGATTGTAAAATACACACTTAGATTACACATTGCTTTGGAGATCAATATTTTATCAGCCTCTTTCCTCATGTTTCACCCTGACAGTCAGGTTCACTTGATGCATTCCTTGTCACTCCTTATTTTTATATAGTAGTTTAAATACATTACATAGCTGGAGATAATGATGCCATCTCTTTACTAAGCTCTTCATGAGGTGCATATTATTTCAAGACACTTTGGTTGTTCTGGAGAAAGACCAAAGTCAGCTGGATCTAGTCAATGGAATCATCCAATCAGATGGTTGATAATTTTAGAATTCTCTCGGGATTTATAGCCTGTTCAGCTCAGATCCTGTTGTTTTTCTTCTCTTTTACAGAAACAAGCCAACGACCTTGTAGGCACCCTGATGAAGTGTACACCCCATTACATCCGCTGCATCAAACCAAATGAAACAAAGAAGTCTCGAGACTGGGAGGAGAGCAGGTATGGATAAGCAGTGTGTGATGGGAACCAGTGCTGGTAATCCAAAGAAGCCACAAAAAGTCATAATTTCTGATCACACAGCCTACAAACAGAACTAGATTCTCTAAATCTGGCATGACTCCTCCTAAAGTTTGAAGATAAGGGGTGGTCACTTGGTCTAAATCAGCAGTTAGTGTATGCAGTTTTTAGCTTTTTTCCTGTCAGTTATGAATAATCAACATTTGCATGAGTACCAGTATATTAGTATATTAAAGACTCAGTTTTCCATGTAGAATTTGCACACCAAATGCATTATACATATCTTTTAACTTTTGCTACTTTTTAAATTTAAAACCAGCTTCTGTTACGGAGCTAAAAAGCCAATACTATTTCTGTGTCTGCTTTTATGTATCAATCTTACCAGAAAGTGCCTATAACCAACAATGTAGAAGGTTCCTGTTTTACTTCTTGACTTTTAAGTTTAATTGGCCAACTCTTTAAAGAGAATTCACTGGAATATTGTAGCAGGTGATTATATAGATATTAAATAGATGTCTAAATCATCAGTTTGGTTTATCACATCTTATCTGAAAAAAGATGCTGCTCTCTTTTGCACTGAGGTAGGTGCTCAGTAGAGTGTGTTTTCTGTGTGAGGGCCTAATGTAGATAACATTTATTACTATATACCAAGTACTTTTGGTAGTGGTAAAGTTGCTGTTGAAGCAAGTGGTTATTTCTGTTACAGTGAAACAGGTTGCGAGGCCTGATAAAAAGCATTCTTGAGAACCCCCCAGCAGAATTCCCTTCCTGCCCTTTGGCATGCAGACTGGCACAGTCACATGCAGATGGAGAGCACTTTCAGAAGCAATTGGGTCTGCCCTTCAAAGTGTCAACTGAGGGCTTGGCAGGAAATGGAGACCCTTTTTCTGTAGCTTTTCCACCTCTGAAAATCCTACTATGCAATGCTTAATTTTCCACTGACACTGGGGACTAAAGAAGGGGAAAGAAAGTGATCTTGGGAAAAGTGTTTATAAAACTTTTAACTATAAGTTGAGGGGCTTTTAAAATCGATCATTTAGGTATTTGGAAACAGGCCTGTTATTGTGGAAGGTGTTGCTGGGAAACCAAGGAAACAAACAAATAAAATCCTAGTCCTGAGAAAAGGGCAGCTTTCAGGAAACCCCTTTTGGAGCAAAAATGGGCAAGATTTCTTCTTGTTTTCCCATAATGAGGATGGTGTGTTATCAGTAGCTGCTGTATTTGCCAAGTGAAATACAAAGGATTGTGTACTATCAAACTGAGACAAAAATGGAAATGCTGCTTATAATGGTAATGCTTCATCCCTGTTTAAAACTCCTAACATTCCCTCTCATTTCAATCTGTGATTGCCCACCTATTGTAGTAGGACTTCACTGTGGCAGTTAGGGACAGGTCTGGGGAAAAGAAATTTATATCCATATGACAGTTCAAAGTTCAGCTTTATTTTGTTGTTTCTCGGTCTTACTGTGAGAGGGAAATACAAACCATAACTGAGTTTATGTGATATTTTGCTGAATGGTTGATTAAAGTTTATTTTCTTCGTTTTCTGCTGTGATCACATAATGCTGCATCATACCCCATAGCTGATGTGATGGGAATAGTAATTTGCTTATTAGTAGCAGGTTACTAGACCGTGAAAACGTTACTGAAAAAGGAAAAAACCCTCTCACAAAGCCTGTCTTACTTCATGCTCCCAGAAGCCATGTAACTGCAACTTTCTGCTGCTGTTGAATAACTTTAAAATATTTAGCACTGAAACATAGGCCTTGTGTAATATCTAAACCTTGTATAATACCTTAGTTATTCCAGAAATTGGGGTGTTCTTGAAATGTGTTTTTGTTCAGGTCCTGGCACAGCCACTTGGACTTGTATTCAAAACTGCTGCATTAGCTGAATTCCCAGACCCTGACCTGCTTGAGGTTGCTGCCTGGAGGGAGATTTTCAGTGTGCCTTTTCTCAGAAAGGAAGGGAAAAACAGAAAAATGTCTCAAATTCTCTGGTGCTGGACACTAATACTGGCAGGACAGTAAGAAAATAGGAGTAGTACTGTTGCTCCAGTGCATTATTCCAGATGTGAACAGGAGGGAAAGCTATAAACAGGAAAATATATTTTTGTCCACCAACTTTCTACTGTACCAGAATTCTTGGAGTGGGTACAAATATGCTTTATTCCTTGAACACAGCAAGATTAAAATGTTTAGTATTCTTTATTGTAAGCTAAAAGAGCAGTATCACTCATCATTTAGTAAAACACCTCTCAAAAGCGTTCTTCAAAAAGAAGAAATAACAGAAGGGATTTTGTCATTTGTGTAGCAAGGGATTTCAAAAGATTTTTCCCTTCATACTATGAGTCATGTGAAAAAAATGTCCCAACAAAAAAAAATCAATGGGAGGTACATTTTATATTGAAATTTAATATTTCAAAATAGCTAGAGAAATAACACTGAATTAACTGAGACTGTTTCAGGGTTTGAAATTTTTTTTGTAAAATCAGAGAAATAGTAAGCAAACCAAAATTAACTGGCTTCTTACAGGCTCACTTTTTAAATCATATGTAAAGAAATGTTCTTTTATATACTGTTTGTTGACCAGCCAAGCTTCAGCCAGCCTTGTGCCTGTCCTCAAATCCTTCCGTTGCAGCATGGTAAAATTAGGAGGAATTCTAGCTTTTCACCAATATACTGACCTGGCTTTCTTTCTGATTCTTTGTGAAGTGAAAGTTTGGCATCTGGGGCTTTTTTCCAGCCGTCAGACTTGGTCCTGTCTCCAGAACAACCAAAAAAAATGCTGCTCTGTGCTACTGTTGCTGTTTGAGCTGTGTAAAGCATCGGTAAAACCTACAATAAAAGAACACAAAAGAGTTTCCTGGTCCCTTGGGAATTGTATAAGTAGTAGTTACTTGGCCTTTCATGGGTAATAGTATTAGCTAAGGAATTTGGACATTAATTACCTTGGAAATGGGATGCTAAACTAGGAAAAAATGCTAAGGTAAACCTGCTACCTGTATTTATTTCAGCACTGTGGTCTACCTGCCTTGAATATTTTTCCCACCATGCAGTGTGCATGGTAATGTGGAAGAATAGATTCATATGGCTGTGCATAAATTTTAGCAATCAGTAGTCTTTAAGCATGATTCAGACTGTTAAGAATCTACAGCCTCCATCCACGAGTAGGCTGAAATAAAATGGATGGTAAACCTTGTGTTGTTTTTGTCCACAGAGTAAAACATCAAGTGGAATACTTGGGTCTGAAAGAAAATATTCGAGTAAGAAGAGCTGGTTATGCCTACAGGAGGGTTTTCAAGAAGTTCCTGCAGAGGTAGGGTAACATTCATTTAGAAGTACTGCTGCACACTTGTTTATATGATGAGGAGGGAACCAAGAGGCTGCAAGTTTTGAGAGCTCATTTCCCAATTACCCTTTTCTCCCCATTTACCTTGCACAGTCATCTGGATTACACAGAGATTTGAAACTGTTTTAAAGCCTGGCTTTGTGTTTGTGAAAGTATTTTCATTTTTTTCTGTAAACTTGCCCAAGGCCCCAGTTCTTTTTGTAGTGCTGTGAGAGGATACCTCAGAGTTAAAGAGTTAAGGGAACTGCTGCAGTGCCTGAGATCTGCTAGCCTTTGTTTCAAATGTTACTGCTCTAGCTCTCCCAACTTTTCTCCCAATGACAGACGAAGATAGGTAAAGAAATACATGCCTGCCATTCAACCATTGCAGTGTAAAGAGTAACTTCAGCTTAAATTGCTCATTATCCTTCCAGTGGTGTTCCAACAGCTGGGAATGGCTACAACTCAAACCACTGCAGCTGCTCTCTGAATGAATGAAAGCAAGTCAGAGCTCTGTAAGACCAGTCCTTTTTTCAGTGTCTTAGGACCAGCTGTTAAGATGATTAACTACCTCCACTAGCTAATGAAATCCTCTTAAATAAAAGCAGTTTCAAGATTTATACAACATTCAGCTTCTGGTTTTTAGAAACTTGAGACATACAGCTAATAAATGCCCAAACAGACATTATGTGACAAAACAGCTCTTGTTGAAAGTCTTTGAATTGCATTTGAGAATATAAAATAATACCCCAAACAGTATTTGCAAGGGGTGGAGTATAATTAGACAGCACAGAACAAAGCCATGAATAATACTTCATGATAATACCAAAAATGTTCTAATAATGTAATAATAGTCAGGCCTAAAATCTCTTCGAGTATGGACTCAATTTTCATTATGGAACAATTTTAAATTCCTTTTTCGTCACGATCTTCAAGCCCAGATGTATAAACATGATTATGCTTCAGGCTGTGTTACTTAACACAGACTGTTGCTGAGACAGAACAGCAGATTTATAATGAGTATTAAAATCCAGCCTCCCTAGTTGTTGAACACTGACTGTGAGGGCTGTGCTGGTCTAGCAATCTGCACAAAGGAAAGCTACGTGGTACTTCTGGATCCACTGAAACCATTCTTTGTGGAATTCATCCATTTGCTTCAAACTAATCAGCTGTGTTAAATTTAACATTGTGTTAGGAGTAAAACCCCTCCTGCTCCCTTTCCATCCACAGTTCCCTAGGATGCAGAACAAGCTCTGTTCTGACCCCCTGAGTCAGTGTGAGTAACAGCGGGCAGAGCATGGGATGGCCAGGAAGTGCATGCTTGGACACTTGTTTTCATTGGGCGTTCCTTGGCAGCTCCAGATAAGTGGAGATTTCTGGGCTGAATAGACTTTTATGTACAAAATTTACATTTGCATGCAAAAAGCCACAGTCTCTGAAAAGGCCTGTGTGTTCCAAGGCATAACCCATCTGAAAGCTGAGCTCCCTGCTCCCAGATTTAGACATGAGACCCAACAGCTTACTGTGAGTTTATAAGAGATAGTTTTGGAGGGCAGTCATGATTTGAAATTGTTTCAGGAGCATTTAAGAACACATTTGTGCTGAAATAAAGTGTAAGGTAAATTACAGAAGCTTGAAAAACTGGGATGCCTGGATAGTGACATGACCTGTTTGATGGGAAGCACAGGGAGATTGCAGTGGCATTGCTAAACAGCAGCCAACAGTGATAGAATTGTCACCTTGGCAGACTGTGAAATGCTTCACTGCTGCATGTTACAGAATAATCTGTTTCTTCTGCCCTGCAGACTTGCCACACCAGTAAAATGTATGAAATTAGTTTGATAAAAAAGGAGAATTTCAAATCTATTAATTTGTACCCAAGATCTTTACTTACATTAAAAGGTCTTAGGAGTTCAGGAGATGTAGGAGAGAATTTGTAACACTGTCTTGTGTGGAAGGTAGCAGTTTCAAACACCTTTATTAACCTCACTCCTTTATCTTCAAACTTCATTAGATCCACCTATACTGCTGGTGGTACATGATGAACCTGCAAAAGAGGTTAAATAAATGATCTGGGACTTACTTTAAATTAGAGCTCCTTACTGAGTTGCATCTGTTTACCCCATAATACTGATAAATTACATAAGTATGTAAGTGTACACATTGTCTGTAAACATAGATTATGTTTATATAATATACAGTATAAATATAGCAGTGTATTAAATGAAATCCTATATTTGCTATATTTAAGGTGGTGTAAGAGCTAATTCATTATACCATCAAGCATAGTACCTGAGCATTTGTTAACTGATGGATTTGAACATGAGAACATCAGTGTTTTCAGTCCTACTGAATTATTCATCACTTATCATTCTCTTCTCATGTGCCCTCTATTCAGAGGTATTTGGGTTTTGTGATACATTTCTTTTTAACTGTTTGCTATTTTTCTTTTTATGGTATTGTTACTTATGTTGCATGACACTGTCTCTGGTTCCTGGCTGGATAATATTTTAGATATTATGAGTAATCGACATTCCTTCAATGTATTTTCCAGCAATTCCTTGTGTGCTTTTTGAAAACATTTTATTAGGAGCTGCCTAAATTATCTTAAGAACTTGGAAATTATAACAAACTAAACTCCATACCTTATCACTTTTTGTCATTTGTTGAATAGTTTTACTAATAAGCATGATTTAGTTTATATAACTTAAGTACCCTTAAAGCATTAAAAAGAAATTGTCAAGAGTAAAGAACATAAAATATTTCAGGGAGAGATTTGTCACAACATATTTAGCTGTTCTCCAGTCTTCTTGTCACAGGAGTCTAAATAGCTGCTGCTAAAGAAGTTACTTACCCATTGACACACTGAGGCAGCTAAAGCCCATCAAGTGCTCCTTTGGTGGGCAGTGGAACAAGGCAGCTTTGTAACTCCAGCCTGGCAGTTCCAAAAGCCCAAGTTAAGCCTGAAGAAGTGGACAGTTTAAAAGGGGCTGAAACCTGGCATCTGCTTCATTCTCAGGGATTATAGAGAATACCATGAGAGAAGGCTACTGCTTCTTTCTCTCAAATCCATGTTGTTATAGCACTTCCTGCTCCTTCCCTAGCCCTTTGTGTGGGCAGTTCCCAGTGTTCCCTCCAGGTAACTCCAACATCACTGTTGCCTCCCTCTTGCCCCAGAGGCCAAGCCAAAGGCTACCTGAGATAGAGCCAAGAGTGGCTCCTTGCTAAATGCAGCCCAGCTCCTGGACAGGTTGGTCAGGAGCACGAGCTGGTCTCTTGCTTAGAAACAGAAAAGTCCTTTGCAACCAACAAGAGATTCAGAGGGCTTCAGTGAGAAATTGGCCACGTGCTTGGGAATGGATGTAGAATGCCAAGGATGTAAGTACTCAAATCTGGACCGTACGTGAATAACCTCACCCTGGGCTTCAGCAGATCACAGCAGAACTTCCTGCAATTGACTGCTGCAGTTACCAAACAGCAACACAGCAACTGGAAATGGGAGACTTCAGGGCACTATTGTCCTTCTCATTGCAGTTATTTGGTCTCACTAAATAAGAAACATTTTAATACTCTGCATCTTGGCACACACCAAGCTCTGAGTCCTGCTCCAGTTGTTCACTCTGCCCCAGGGTAATGCTGACCCAGAGTCAGTGGTATCCTGCTGCTGTTGGATGCCAGGTCTTAATCTCTCCTCCTTGATGGTTCAGGTACGCCATTCTGACCAAAGCAACCTGGCCTTCTTGGAGAGGAGAAGAGAAACAAGGAGTCCTCCACCTGCTTCAGTCAGTCAACATGGATCCTGACCAGTACCAGCTTGGGAAATCCAAAGTCTTCATCAAAGCTCCAGAGTCTGTAAGTGTGGCAGAACATGATTCTTTAAGTGTGGAACTGTTTTGCTGAAATAAAGTCCTGCCCACTCAGAAATGGAGGGTGGGATCTGCTGAGGTGGGAGAAGCATAAGAGTGTAAGAGAAGCTGGGCAGGTCTGCCATTGACACTGTCCAGAGATTTGAGACACTTTTACAACAGGCACAGTGCATGAGGCACTGCATGACTGACACAAATACAAACAGCATTAAATGCATCAAGAAGAGGAGGCGGGATATGAAGATGCTTTGGTGGCAGGTTGCACAAAGTGACATCCAGTCTGTCATATGAAGAAATATCATGGCATGAAAACATCTGTGACCATTACCCGAGAAAATTGGTCCTTTTTTCAGTGCAAGAACTACTGATGAAGGTAGAATGGTCCCCAGTCAGTAAGGATATGTTGTGCAGCATTGAGTAAATCAATGTTCCAGAATGACTGCAACTTGAAATCCTGTTCTAAGAGAACATCAGGGAGGCATCATGGGGCTGTTTTGATCCTGTGGCTACTAAACTGCACAAAATCTGTTGGAAAAAAGTTTTCTTACATTGCTATTCTAGAAAGTTGTTAAGGAAAATCTGTGCTCTACTCACCATCATTTATTCCTTATGCATCAGAAGCCATAGGGCTTAGTTTGTGCTTTAGCTGAAGTTACATTTTAAAATAAAAGCAGACCACTTCTATCATTTATCATTTTCTGTTCCAGGAATATATTTTTTGCTCTGCAGAGCAATAGTAATTCAGGCCATGACACTGCTGTGCCCAATCACACAGGAAGAAATTTGTTAAAAGAAAAAAGATAATGCTTCTCCAAGTCATTATAGACATTGTGTTCTTTCTACCATAAATAGGGTAAGATATTGTTCAGGAATAATGGGACTTTACATTCCTGCCATCTGAGAGACATGTTTATACACTTGGCATACAGTGCTCGAGATGTAGGTTATTAGAATACTTGGGTGCATGTTGATATAAATAATATAAACAATTAAGGGAAGAAACCAAAATAATTTTTGTGTGATGGCTGCATTCTTGAACTGTGCTGCTTCATGGATAAACAAATACAAAACTTTAAAGTAGCATTGTTTGCAGTTTTATGTAACAAATCATACAAGGCACTATCTGTCTTTCCTGAAATGCCTCTTATAAGAGCACAGATTTTTAGCAGCTGCATCTTCACAAATGGGGTGAGTCTTATTCCTGTTTTTCTCAAAGAAAGAAATTAAATAATTTCCTGGTTTCTGTCTTCTGTTTAATAGTGGCATGTGCTCCCATGGGATTGATGGATCTAGTTCCCCTTTGCTCTGAAGTGGCCAAAAAGTTAATGTTCTGTACCCCAGCATCATATGCTGCCAGGTTGTTCTCTAGAGGAAGAAATTTTTATCCAGTGGATGTCTCTTCCCATCCTAATGCATGTTGTTAATACTAAGCCCTGGTTCCATCTATATGCCATTTAATGGTGGATCTGTGAGTTTTCCTGAAGGGCAGTTCTGTAGCTTAGGAAAACATGATGTTGATTGGAAGTAGTATAATTTTTTAGGTTATGTTTCGAATTTAATTTAAATTAATGCTTTCAATTACTGTGTGTTTTCTTAAATTTTTTTTAAATGCCATGAAATCTGTTTTTAAACAAGTGCTAAAAGTACTTTTTCGTTTTAAGTTGAAAATGTTTTTTGTGAGCTGAATATTCTCAAGTTTGAGTTATGTCTTTTATTAAGAGAGACAGTCATCTTTCATCTTATATTACTAAAGTATTGGCTAGGGTTATATTGCTTTTGAGAAAAATAATCTTTTAGATGGCAAATGAAATTTTTTCTTTCTACCACCAAAAAGAGCACCTGTTGTGGTTAATCAGATGGAAAATACTTGATTTTCTCAGGAGTGCAAGAGGAGGCTTTATAATACATATTTTAGGGAAGAGTTTGTGTAGTATTTTTATTTTCATAGCTTAAGAACTGGATTTTAGCTCAGTGATTGAGTGGAACTTCCTTAATGGTGACCTTCAGCTGCAGGTGATAGATTATTTTGCGCTGAGATTTTACAATTAGCATTGTTGGTAGAGAAGTAAATGGTGAGTGTTCATGAGAGACAACATCAATATTGTTCCTGTAACCTGAATTACACGAGGGTTGGTTACAGCCCTGCTGAGGCTGAGGGTGTTTTTGCATCAGGAGCACTCGTGGCTGTGTGTGAAACCCTACCCAGTGCTTGTGCTCCTGAGGAGATTTCTTCTTTTTAATGAGTTTGCTGTAGATGGAGAATTGCCAACGGTGAAATAAGGTTTTATGGGTGGCAGAAAGAGGCTTCATTATTTACATTTCCATCACACACCTGAATAAATAACTCTGTACAGAGCAAGCGAGTTCTGAGGAAATGGTTTGCACTAGATCAAGTTTCCTTTTTAAGATCAATATGAAGAACAGTATTTTTCTAGATTTGCAGGGTTTAGAGTAGCAAAAGAAAAAAGAATCCTAAAGCCCAGGTTTGCTTCTTCTTATACCTGTTTTTACTAATTTTATCTCTTTTGAAAGACAAAAGAAAAGTTCTTATGAATGTTTGACACACAATGGAGGGAAATCATAAGCAACAGTCATGTCAGTGGACTGATTGAGTGCTGTAATTTAGCCAAATGCTTGTGCTTCTGGTGAGACAAAAAAAACATTTAAGCATGTAAAAGGCTATAGTGCAATATGCTATATCCTGCAATAATTTTGAAGTTGTTCTAGTGCATTAAATTTACATATATTTTAGTGGGACCTGGGAAATTCTCAAAAAAGGGGATGCGCCTTCCATTTCTGTTTTGATAAAACAGTATGGTCTCCTGATTTCTGACATTCGAGACCTAAAAATCTTATTATGTCATACTTCTGAAATGTAAGGTCATAGTTGTAAATCCTGCAGCCATCTGACAAACTTCACTGGTGAGAGAGGATGGAGCCAGTGGACACGAGAGTGTGAAATTCAGGCAGGGAAGAAAGTTGGCTGTGAACACAGTGTGTTGTGTTACACATTGCACAGATCCCCACAGACATGGTGACATTCTGACAAGGGAAGTGGAAATTTTGGAGAATGTGGAGGTGGAGGCTGGATGAATGGCCAGTGGAGAACCTTGAGTTGCACCAATAGAATATTTCAGGGAGAATCCATGCTCCTCTTCCTTCCTCATGGAGTTTGGAGCTTAATGGGTAGACTGGTAAGAGCTGCAACCACTCAAGCATCAGAGATTTCTTCTGGAAAAGGCCAGCTGTGGTAGAGGCACCAGCTTGGATCCAGAGAGAAACTCACTGGGGAGCTGTGGAAAGTAAAATGTAGCCTTTGCTTGAACTTCGCGTGTAAAATGTTTGACACACTTTTCTGTCTCTCTGTACAGCTATTTTTGTTAGAAGAGATGAGGGAGAGGAAGTACGATGGGTATGCCAGGGCCATCCAGAAGGCCTGGAGGAAATACGCGGCCAGGAAAAGATACGTCCAGATGAGAGAAGAAGGTGGGTCAGAACTGCTGCTGGCAGGTATTGCACACGTGGGTCCAGGAACAGGGAGAGGCCCACAAGGGATGAAGGAGATCTCTCCCTCTCTATAGGCAAACAGTGCAGTGCAGGGTGACTGTCTGGGAATGACTGCAAACTGTTGGATGCCTGAGGTAGCACTGGTGAGGTTGACTGCTCTGCACACACGGATTTCTTGGGCTGACCAGTGTTTTGCTCTCAAATCAAAGCCAGACTGAGTAGGACAGACATCAGAGATGCTCCAGGGGGATCAAAAAAGAAAATCCTTCCCACAGTTATGCAGACCTGGATGTTCTGTAGATGATACAATCCAATCCAAGGACTCTACTGCTTAGTTGTGTGTGTTACCTGGGTTGTGTGAAGGAACATTCTGGGTTTGGAAGAGTTAATCTTAAATTTTCAGAAATGAGTGAGGAATTCCTTAGTTCCAGAAGTGCTCCCAATTCACCAGAACTGCTGAGCTTGCCATCAGTGTGTTTCGTTAGGAATGAATTTAATGATTGCATACATCCTTACATAAGGATTAGTAGCACTGCTTCACTGTTTTTTTCCATATTATAAACAATTGGTTTATCGCTTCTTGCCAAGAAGTTCTGTGTGAAACAGCTCTTTCAGATCATGAGTTCAGGAAATTTAGTAAATGCTATTAATCAATGTTTATTTTTGGTATTTAAGCATCAGATCTGTTGCTGAACAAGAAGGAGAGAAGACGGAACAGCCTTAACAGGAATTTTGTGGGAGATTACATAGGCATGGAGGACCACCCAGAGCTGCGCCAGTTTGTGGGCAAACGGGAGAAGATCGATTTTGCAGACACTGTGACTAAGTATGACAGAAGGTTTAAGGTGGGTTTAAAAGCCACATCCACTAGTGATTAGTTCTGCTGGGATTTAGAGTTGTCTTCTCCATCCTGTAACAGAAACTCCACCAGGCTGGTGTCACACCATCCAGGACACCAGCTTGAGTAAAGTGTCTTTGATTTAAAGACTGATCGGGAAGCAGTTGGAGCCTTGTGATCAGGACTCTGCTGTTACCAAGCCTGTTGTCCCAGGATGAAGGTGTGATCAGAACACTGCTGTTACCAAGCCTGTTGTCTCAGGATGAAGGCTTTATGGGACTTGCTGGGCAGAAAAGCTGCACTACTTAGGAAAGGGGGAACAAAGCTAACTTTCCTTTCCTGTGCAGTCTGATGTGATTAACCCCAGCAGTACTTTTTTCACTTGAACCAAAGACTAACAGTGTTGCCCCAAATCATAGCACTTCATATATCTGTGGAACAGCATCACATCAGTGCAGTGATCCCTGCACAGCTGTGCATTTTCAAACCATGTTGTGTTTCAGAGCGTGAAGAGGGACCTTGTCCTCACCCCCAAGTGCATTTACCTGATCGGGCGGGAGAAGGTAAAGCAGGGCCCAGAGAAAGGCCAAGTGAAGGAAGTCCTAAAGCGAAGGATGGAAATGGAGAGAATCCTCTCTGTTTCTTTAAGGTCAGTACCTTAAATATATGGGCAGAGAAACCTTCTCACAGGCATTTTCCAGTACTCAAAACCAGCAGATTTCACATTTTTGCAGAACTCTTCACAGATATTGCAAGATTAGGGAAAGGTCTGCAAGATGTGTCTGCTCACAGTACCACTTTGAAAATCTGTTTGTTTAACATACAGATTTTTAATGCTGGTTGCAATAAAATAACTCTGGTAGATATAGGTCAAAGATGGGAGTGGAACCTGTCTGCAGTGCTCCAGGTTTGGACTGTGTGCTGTGCCTGGCCTGTGGCATTCCAAAGGCAGTGTCTCACTGAGGTAGCCAGAGCAGAGCTGCTGGCCAAGCTGGTGAAAGCTGTTACACTCTTCTCACATGTAGATAACAGCTCCACAGAACCTCCTGAAGCAGAACCAGATGTGCTTCAGTTCAGAGGAAATAATGTAGGTTACTTAATGTCTAATAATGTTTTGGATTTAGCTTCTAGATTTTACTTTGTTGTAAAAACCATTGATGTTTGTATAGACTCAGAATTGCGAGCTATCAAACTGTCCATGTGTTCCTCCAAACCCAAACCTTAAAGAACCTATGGGGACAAAAGGGCTTTTCCCTCTTATGTTACTATGGCCTGAGGTAAAAATGGATCTTGATCAAGGGATCTCTTAAATCAGTATTGATGTGGCTGAGCAGGGATAAAGCTTTAAGAGCACATGGTTTTTTCCTAGCAGCAATTATTGTAAAATGACTAAGTAGTATTCCTCTCTCTCAAAAGGGATCGTCTCAGATATTCCATTATCAATTCCTGAAAAAAACCCCTGTTCTCAGAAAGCAAGGCTCCATAATTAATGCTGCTTGGACTTTGTTATGTTTTTAAAAGTTACCCATGAGTGCTCTGTGAATGTCATTATAGTGCTGGCTGTATTTGCTGATGAAATTTTGAACTGACTGGTATATGTTCTGATTTCCTTGCAGCACCATGCAGGATGACATTTTCATTCTACATGAACAGGAATATGACAGTTTGCTCGAATCAGTCTTCAAAACTGAGTTTTTAAGCCTCTTATCAAAACGATATGAAGAGAAAACACAAAGAAAACTACCTCTGAAATTTAGCAATACGTGAGTTACGGCTTTTTTCAGTGGGCTTTTAAGGATAAATGTTCTTTGTTCTTGCTGCCAAGGCAAATGAGTGCTAGTTGTGGAGCCCTGACACCATGCTTTATTTTAAAATAATAGGAGGTAGCACAGTGTAAAAATATGTATGTGCAGGGAGACCAGACTTCGTGGTTGCCTTGTCAGAGGAACAGGTTAGGATTATAACAATCTGAAATTCTGAAGTTGGTTGTGGGTGCAAAGCATTGCAGGGTGAAAGAATAATTCTAAAAAAAAAAACCCATTAATTAAATTATATTGGGAACAGTTTTTTTAGAAACAAGCTTGGAAAACCACAGAGTGTCTGATGTGCATTTGAGCTGTAAGGACATCCTGGAAGCTATCCCAGCAAACATGTGCTTTTGTTGATACTTCTACCCATTAAACAGATGAGCAGCAGCAGGCCTTGGATTTGTATGTTTATTTTATTGCCTTCAAAAAACTGGAAGAAATACAAGGCTACTGGAGATCATTATTTTCATTTGGAAAGGGTGTAGAGGGACAATTGAAGTGTGGAGCATTATTGTAGCATACACTGCTGTACACTGGGAATCCAAAGCCAGGACCAGGACCCCACTTCTGGGGTCTTGCCCAAAACCAAAACATGATTTTTTTAATCTCATATCTTGAGTACAGTTCAGAGGAGATGGATAGTGTGGAAAGAATATATATATATATATATATATATATATGTATGTAATATATATATAGTGTGTGTGTGTGCTTACATGGAAAAAAATGTAAATTGAAAAGGTTGCAGTGTATGTATCCAAAACATTTAGTCCCAGAACATGCACAAGGCCTGCCCCAAAGCATATACATCTGTACATCTGATATATATCTACATCTAACAGTATATGCAGAAGAATGTTGAGAAGTGGAGCACTCCAGCTGCTCCAGCAGAGTCTGCTGCAGAGGCAGTGATGTCTGAGGGCAGACATGTCTCTTCCTCAGACCTTGGCACATTTTTCTTCAAAGCTCTCTGTCTTCTCTTGGGCATCTTAAACCTCCTTTCAGTAGCTCTACCAGGAAAGTTAAAACATCAATTAAGAAGAACATTTTAAAAAAAAAAAAAGGCATGAAAATAAGATTTAATTAGGTGGTTTATGGCACTCAGGGAATGCAGGTTCTCAGTCTAAGCTTCGCATTTTTATAATTCTCTTATCTGCTGCCAAGTGATATTGTCTTGATTTGACACAGAAATGCTGGGTTTAATTCACGTGTTCATCTGCTTCTGTTAGACTTGAAGTGAAGCTGAAGAAGGAGAGCTGGGGGCCCTGGAGCAGTGGTGGCTCTCGACAAGTGCAGTTCATGCAGGGCCAGGGAGACGTGGCCCTTCTCAAGCCAAGTAACAAAGTGCTGCAGATCAGCATCGGGCCAGGGCTGCCAAAGAATTCCCGTAAGTAGGAATTTCCTCGAGAAATTACAGAATGGTTCACTCTTTCTGACCTTGCTTGGCTTTAGCCTCACCATGTTCTTAGTTATTTCTCTGTAACACTTAAAAGATGACCCTAATGATAGAGCAGAATTCCTTGCTGCTTTACAGTTCTGCTGGAATTTTGTTCCTTTCACTATGTACCAGTGGTTCCTGAAATGCCTCAAATTCTTTCCCCTGCAGCAGAAGAAAAGAGGGCATTTAACCATGTGAGTAGTACAAAAGGAACAGTTCGCCCAAGCATTTTGGGGCAGAGTTTCACCCTGCTCTGAGCTTCTGCAGTTCCTACACACCTGCTGATGGAAGGTCTGCATCAGGACAGGTGGTGACATGAAGAAATGTAATATCTGTACATCACCAAAGATCGAGCTGCAAATACATCAGCCTCTTGAATTTTGTGCCCTGCCTTTCTCTCATGCTAATTGCTGTTCAGAAGCAGCAGAGTCAGAAGTACTGCTGTGCCAGTTATCCTTGGTTATGAAGAAGTTCGTAAAGCTCAGGTGTTCTGGGTCTTCTTTACTGTAGTTGTGAGACAGCTTTGCTTTATGTCCTGTGGTTGAACTGGATCACAAAAGGCAGAAGATGCCAAAGTCATCCTTGTTGCACCTAAGGCTTTGGAACAGCCTGGCCAACAGAGTCAGATTCTTTATTCCTGAAGATCAGCACTGTTGAATCACAGAGCAGGGGCTCTGCACTGACTTAATTAATGTAACTCTGAAAGGATAACAGAATATTGCTGGTTTCTTTTAGGTCCTACTAGACGGAACCTTACCCAAAGTAGAGGGTATTCCAACAGGTCTCAAAGTCAGACTTATCCTATGAGAGCTGCACCACCTCCCCCTGGTAAGTCCTCTTAGCCTCAGGCAAAGCAAAATTCCAGATTAAAACTTTCACTTTACTCTTGTCATCTGATAATTTTTACGCATTAAAAAAAAATCACAGTAAAGGTTTAAATTGCTCTTTAAAAGATCCTGACTGGAAAACATATATTTGTAGGCATTTTATGAAGTGTACTGTTGGAGTCTGCAGACAATTGAACTGGTATTCCCCCAGAGGTGTCCTTGTTGTCCTGGATGCTGACTTGTTCAGCCACTAACACTAACCCTGTAGCCTTCTTCACTGTCAGGGGTAAAAGCTGTGTGCTTGTCAAGCCACAGACAATGCTTTGCAGTGAAACTGCTTTCAGTGCCAGTAAACCACAGAATGCAATTTATGTCTCATTGTCCTGCCCTGTTAAACATGTAACCAGCTCTGCTGTGTGCTGGGGCAGATCAGCTGTGCCAGTAAACAGCCTGGCTTTTTCTGCATGGGACTGATGTCATTTTAGGGTGTTTCACTTCTGCCCTCGGGAGATACGATTAATTTTGCCTGTGAACTCAGAGGGCAGAACAATATTCCATTGACCCAATGTTTCCCAAGAGGTTTTTTTTTTACTTACACTCCCAGAGTACTTTTTTTTTTTAACAAAGGCTTCTCTTTCAGTCAGTTGCTGTTTATGGAGAAGAACAATGCTAGTGGTGGAAGTTTGGGGGTGTGACCAGTCTTGGTCACCAGATTAACTAGACAATTCCAATTCCTCACAGCTGTATGAGTCAAACTCAGGACTGTGTGATCTGCAAGAACTGCTTGAAGTGGGAAATTACTGGAAAGAGCTGACCTGTCAGCAAAAAGAGACAGTGAACAGTAACACTGTGGGCCATTGTCCCTGAGCATTTGAAATGGATTCTGCTGTTTTCAGACCTGTTTTGAAATCAGTGGTCCAGTAGCTGAACAGACTGTTATGTCTATGTTCAGAAGAACCCAAACCTTTATTTATGTAACCATAATGTCAGTGCCATACATTGCAAAGTGAGGTTCATTTATGGCTGCTTAAGCTCTGCTGCAGTATCAAGAGAATATCAGAAGCAGATACCAGCTGTTGAAGGCAGTAAAGTTTTTCCCAGTGTCATGATTATGAATTCTCCTCTCTGCACAGCTGTTCATTCTGCTGATTTTTAACAGGCATAATCAAAATGGAAAAAGGACAGGTTCACCCACATCACTAAACAAATTGATTTTGAATATAAGCCTAGCTCCCATTTTATTCAGTAGGGGCTTTAGGAATGTAAAGCATGGAGAGGAGCTCCTTAGGCCCTGATCCTGCAAGTAGCTGAGACATGGGTGGGTTTGCTTTAAATTCAGTCATAATTAGTTATTTAGAAGCATTTACCCATGTCATCACCTAGAAAATTAAAACTCCTTTTCAACTATCAAAGTAGCAGCAAGGTGGGTTTTATAAACAAAGCTAATTTAAAAACCCGAAATCCCCCCTCCTTGCTTATTAAAATAGATAGCAACTTAATAAAAACAGTCAAATTCCCTGAATATGGGATAGACTGAGTTTGTACTTCACAAGAAAAAGAAGAAAAGACTAGCAATTCTGGCTAGTTTGGGATTAACCCTTCTCTGGATAAAAAGTTATGCAGTGTTTTAAAGAGTGGCACCACATTCACTAACAGCTGAATTTGGCTGAGAGCCAATCCTCTTGTTTGCTTGTAACATTCAAAGCCCATGTCTTAAGCCTGAGCACAAGCCCATGAAGTTGTGAACCCAAAACAGGTCAGCAGACCAGAAACTGGGTGTACATCACCATTTGAACATGAATTGGTTTTCAGGCTCCTTGGTAGGTGAGGCTCTGACAGTTGGACCTGAGAGCTGAGCCATCAACACAAGGGAAAAGTTACCTTTATTGAACTGGAGTTTGGACTGGATGTGTTCACACGTTATTTACTTCCAGGTCAGCAGCAAAATGGAGTAATAAATCCCCCACAGTCCACGGCCCATCCTCATGTCCCAGGAAATCAATGGGGTGCTCAGAAAAACCTGTACACGAGTATGACACGACCAGCTTTGCCACGGCAAACGTCAGGAGGGTCAGGCAGGATCTCACAGCAGCCAGAAAGCTTGGATTTCTTGAAAGTACCTGACCAAGGAGCAGCTGGGTAAGATTTTACACTGAATCTGATAAAAAGATGTCCCATTTTTTATTTATAGCTTCACACACAAATTGTTGGTGACTGATAACAGTGTGTACATGGGTGACTAGACTGTGCTGTTGAGCTGTACTCAAAGGTATCATCATCTTCCATGGGATTCCAAACACATATTTCATCATAAAGGTGAAGCAGCTCTAGTTTGATATCTTAAAATTGAATGTTAAAATTTTTAAAGCCTTCAAGTTTTTCAGTGACCTACCAGTTTCTATTTTAACTCAGCCCTTATTCCAGTCTCTGATGAACATCAGTGGAGCTTTACTGTAGTGGGAATCTGAGAGTCACTTACTTGTCCAAGACTGCTGCCTATTCAGCAGTTCCATGGAAAAAAACAAAAAAAAAATGTGGTTTAGAGGAAACAGTTTGGTGATGACTTCCTATTTGTGTGATTTCATTCTGATATAACCAAGTCTCAGATAAATTACAGTTAGTAACAGCTGGTTGTCCCAGGGCACATTAAATCAAGGGAAGTTACATTAGCAGATGAGAATAAAAATCCACTGTGATAAGGTGTAATGTAGTAACTTTGCAGAATAATGGTTTGTGCAGACACAAGTCTGTGCTCCACAGCTCTTCAAGTAAACATCTGATAAATATCTCCTTGTTCTGTAGGAAAACCCCATGTGTGTTGAACAAGCCATCATTCTTACATCTTTGTCCAAATAACACTGAGGGAAAAACCAAAGGGAATTTAGATTTTTTCCTGTGAAGAACTCTGCTTGTAAATTAGAGTTCAGTGTCCTCCTCAAGCTTCTCTTGAGTCCCTCTCTTTCCCTCCCTTCCAGCAGCTCTTTCCCTGCTGCACAGTGAGAGCCCTCCAGGCAGACACTCCTGGCAGCAGTTGGCTTTACCTGGCACCAGTGCCCTCACTGACTCAGGGCAGTCCTTGCTCACCACTACAGCTGGAGCACCAGGTACCCTCTGGAGGTGCTGGAGAAGTTTGAAGTAAAACCTGAGACACTGCTGTAGTATGAGTTTTGCCTGAGGAACTGCCCGAGGATTTAAAAGCCTCCCATGAATCCCATCCTAACACACATTCTTTTCCCCTCCTATACATTGTGAACTGCAGTAACACAGCAGTGACATGCCCTGTTCCAGGATGTTTCTTGCTCCTTACTGACACTTTAGCAGTCATGGTACTTCTACTCAGAGCTGTCAGTTGGGACCCAAACTCCCAGGCCTAAGAGCAAATCCTTCTGCTAAATGTGCAAGAGCTAGCACTTGGGGTAATCTGGGAGAAATCAAGGTTAAGTCAAACTTTCACCAGATTTCCACCTGACTTTCTGCAGCCCTTTAACACAATTGCTCTCAGCCCTGAAATACTCTGAGATTATGTAGAACAGCTCAGTCCCCTTCTCCAGTGATCCACATAAATGAGGGTTCTTAAGAGGCAGAAAAAAAACAAACAATCCAACTTATTTTTAATGATATCAAGAGCAACTTTTTGTACAAACAGACCCCTCTCAGCTGTCAGTCAACAGAAAAGCTCCCTGCACTAAATTCTCCTGTTGGCCTAAGTATTTTTTCCTGTGTGATCCAGCTGGCTGATTTAGCATATTACTTACATTGTTGCTTCTAGTGAGCATTGGACACCTCACAGAAATCAAATAATACATAAGTGTGCACAATTGATAGATGTGGAGTATCAAAAGTACACAGGGTTCCTAAGCAGAGTCTTTCTAGTTCCTAAACACAAAGAGCCCTTGAGCAGAATTAGGCACATAAAGAGGCCTTTTCAGTTGTACTAATGGCAGTCATTTCCCCCCACTGTGCATCAAGTGTTAGCCGTTCAAACATATTTAGAGCATTTTTCTTTTTAAGATTAATCTTCAAATAAGAAAGAAATCAGAAACAAGTTATTTTAACAATTTCCAAACTGTCAGCACATGCTAACACCTTCAGACACCTCCATCTTGTAATAACTTCCATGCCTTTAAGTGGTGAAATTTTCTCAGTGCATGTCACCTTCTTTTGTTAAAGCTGTTTTACTAATAATAGACTCTACTTTGTCTGGAGACTACACAAAAACTCATAAGCTGCAGGATAAAGCCCTTGTGATTTCTGTCAGCAGCTGTGACTGACACATGCATTGCTGTAAAACGCAGCAGCCACCAAGTACATGATGATAGGAACCATCAGGTTGGATTCAAAAGATCATTTACATCACATACCACAGTTCCTGATGCTGTGGGTGTGCACCAACAACCCCCTGTTTCAGTCTCAGGAGTTCACAAGGATGATTAGGAAACATTAAAGCTTCTGTCACTGCATTAACACTTAAACTATGGTCAGTGTAGTCCAAGGGAAGGAAAGCAGCAAACAATAAAACACAGTGTTAGAACATCCTGAATATCTGCCCCAGTTTTCACCAATAACTGTGTATACTCAGAGTGGTAGAAAACCCCCAGCAAAGAGCCACAGCAGTAACTGCAACCAGAACAAGTAGGGAACAGGCACCCATCGCTCTCCTCCTGATGGATTTCATGGAAGCCAAGCTTCTCTAGAGGAAGTCATAAGCAAGATAAAAGAGCACTTAGTAATACTTTACAATTCTGAGGAAGGAGGGAAGAGGAAGTTGGGCAGTGAGGGTTGTTTGTTTTGTTCTTTTTTTGTTGTGGTTCTTTTCTTTCAAAGTGAGCCACAGCTGTAGGCAACCAACGTGGATGTTACTGTGTCAGGTAAAGGAACATCAAAAAAGGGCCTGGCAGAGTCATGTCTTAGACCTTAACATTCCAACAGAGGAGTTGCTGCCTGTTGGGTACAACCCACACATGCACTGAACTGCATTTCCTACTTCTTGGCCAGTTGGGTCCCTAATCCCAACCAGTAATCCAGCCAAGGTAGCAGATCATGTGAATTTAGTATTTCAAACCACAGCCATATATAAGCAGATATGGTGTTTGAGAGTTAGAATTTGGTTTATTTTTAGCAAAGCTGCCAAAAAGGAGGCACTGGTACCAACAATCCAGTCCAACACCAAGGTTAAAACCAGCATGTTCCCACCAGCAGAACAGCTCAGTTAAGCTGTTCTTGTTCTACTGTGGTTGAACAGAAGCTGAGCCACTTTTCAAGACTTGTGCTGAATTCCTTAATTTCCATACATAGGTCCAGGTTTCACAACATACTCTATTTCAGGAATAGTCAATACAGTGCTACAGAGCAGGAGATCTCCCCCATATTAGATAGGAGCATTTCAGTTCTCAGTTTATAACCTGTACTTTAAAGATTATTTTCTGGTGCAGTTCACAACACAAAGAACTAGACAGAGGTGTATTGGCAAATATTAGGCCTAGGACTTTGTGTAACTAACTACAAACCTTTTCTGCAAAAGCTGTGTAATGTTATCATGGCATTTACATGACATGATCATAGTTCATTCTTCTCCACATCATTACACCATTTTCAGTCATTCAGCACATTTATTATTAATTTTAAACTGACATATTGAGTCTAATACCTGTTCTCTCTTCCAGCCTTTATTAGCTGATGAGCTGGCAAAATGCATTTCTTCCCTCTTTCCCCTTCCTAATCTTTGGAGTGGTCACAGCTGTGACAGTCTGTGCAGCATCTCCCCTGCTGCTTCAGAGCTGGCTGTAACAGAACAAGTCCATAGATGGCCCTGGAGTCTGAGGCAACTTAAAAGAGATGCAATCTTTGTTACAGCTTAGTCACAAGAATGGTAAAGTAGCAAGCCTGTGAGCTAGAACTTTGTTTTTAATACTGAAAACTAAATCCTTGGTGACGTTGGGGCAAGGGGAGAGACAGCCTAAGCTGTGTAGATACAAAGATCTGCATGAACTGCATGTGCACAGTTGCTTCCATTTCAGCCTGAGCACTAAAACTTCTCTGCATTTGAACTGCTGTTTGGAAGTACTTACCATCTATTTCTGTAGGAAACAAATGGCAACTCTCTTCCTGTCACAGGGAAGTCTCATACTGCTGTTTTTAATTGTTGTGACATAAGAAAACCGTTTTTCTCTTGTTCTGTGATATTCTTTAAAATGAATTCAGTAAGACAGAGGGGTTTGGAAAAGCTTAGGTTCAAGTCCTAGGCTTTGAAACACATTAACATTTTTTTTCTCCCCTCAGTGTTCGCAGGCAGACCACAAACCGCCCCCCACCAGCTGGAGGAAGGCCTAAACCCCAGCCCAAGCCTAAGCCTCAGGTACCTCAGTGCAGGGCACTGTATGCATACGATGCTCAGGACACGGACGAGCTCAGCTTTAACGCCAACGATGTGATTGAGATCATCAAAGAAGGTACGGGGGGAGAAAGGGTTTGTTACTTCAGCACTTGAAGGCACAGGGCCAGAAGGAAGGACAAGTCTTTCCAGGCCATCCCACAGTTACCTTGCAAGTTTCTGATAGCTCAGGGAGCAGAGGAGCCTCCAGACCCACACCAACCAAACCAGTTCACTCCACAGCACGTCCGAGACAGATCTGTGACATGAATCACAGGGTACTGCAGAGCTGCAAGTTTAGTCAGAGAGTAATTCTACCACAGATGACTGTCATCTAGATTAAAATCAACCTAAGCCACAGCTGTAGAACAAGAATTAAAAAGTAATCAAGTAGTTCCAGCTCTGGGTCTCAAAAGCAACATCCTAAGGTAAAGTCATGTGGCCAAAAGATGAGCAAGCTCAGGTTCTGCAAACCATGTCCCCTCATTCCTCCCCAAGAAACCTCTCTCTGTGGCACAGCTTTGCAAGGCTGCACCAAGAAGTGTAACAAAAAGCCTTAAAGAACCTGACTACTTACCTTGCTGTCTTTGTTACAGATCCTTCTGGCTGGTGGACGGGAAGACTACGAGGGAAACAAGGTCTGTTTCCCAACAATTATGTCACCAAGATATAAAAGACTGTCAGAGAAAAATTGGCATGAAGTTACCAGTGGTTGAAGGCCTTTTCCCTTGCCTTCAGGACATTGTTCTTCCAAGATTTGCTGTTCTCAGCAGTGTTTTCCCCAGTAAAGTTGTACATGAGCAGGAAGTTACCCACAGCACAGACTGTGATCTTTTGTCTCAGAAGCATACAGCAATGGACATACTGATCAATTATTTATTATATTTAAAACCTGGTTTAAACACCTGATAAGTGAAGAATACTCAAACCTACCATCTTCCTGAAACAGGTGCTTTACAGCCTGGGACCAGGGACTGAGAAAGGGGTGTATTTAATAAGTGCCTTCAGCTGAATATCAGTAACCTTTTTAAATATCTACTGAAGATAATGTTAAATGCACATTTCCTCTAATGCAGATCATTCTGGGGAACATGTTAAGTATGCTGCTACGTCAAAAAGATTTAGGCTCATTTGGGATATTACCACCATCTAAAAAACTACTGTGATGGTCTATTTAAGTAATTCTGTACAGAGATGTAATGGAACTAGTTTGTGTTTAGGGACTCCAACAGGCACTGTAAGAAGTTAAAAAAGAAAACCACATAGTACTGTATGCTATACAATGTTGCCTTCTTCAAGATTTATATTATAATATGGCTGGCCCATGTTGGTTTTATGTTTATTGTTTTACCTGTTTAAAGAAGTGTGTCTATAAATGTACAGTTCTGCATAGAAAGAAATTGTATTCTGTATATAAAAACTGAGTATAACAGAAACATGTATGAATGTATTATGTAGTAGTCCACTGTTCTTAGTAGTACTGCTAGAATTTTTATGCCAGGTACTTACAGATCTGCACTACTCCTTTTAAATGGTAAAAGCACAAGTGTTACTGCTTAAGTCTGATTGCCTCCCACAGCAGAGTGGCTGTTGCTTGCCCTGCAATTACCAGAATTCATGCTTTGCCTTCTGAACCTCCATGAAATAAAACACAGGAAGCAGTTTGCTCAACAGGTCTGTTCTCTGTGCACTTTGTTCTCAGTTCCATGTACAAACTGAGCCCTTCACAACAGTGGCTTTCGGATTTTACTGCACTGAGTTCTAAAGACAAAACACCCTTCCTTCACTCCAAACCAAATCATTTTCCTGCAGTGCTGTGCATTGCATTTTGTTCTTGTTAAGAGCAGTTAAAAAACCCCCTCTGTGTATGCTGGTAATTATGAGTTGTGTGAGCTTTAAGATACAGCTAAAAGTCTTGAATGCCCTCCCTCCTAAACCATCACCTAAGTCTAATTTAGGCACACAAACTCCATCTTCTTTAGGAGATGACTAACTCTAGAAG